GCCCAAAATCTCTGTAAATGTTTATGAAAATTAATAAAATATAATTATAGGGGAAAAAAAAGAAAGAATTAAATGGTAAAGCTGGTTAAATGTCCTTTTTTGTTATATTCCATGACAGGGAAATAAATTCTTAAAAGCTTAAAAAAAAAAAAAAAGAATCAGTTCACCACTGTCTTCATTTCCCCAATAAATATAACCTTTATCACATATAGAATTTATTTCCTCTATGTTCTTGGTATGTTTTCTAATCTATTCTTTCTGTTCCATGGTCTGAAAATGCTTTAATTATAACTTTAGTTATAAATTTTATAAGATATACAAATATCTAGGCGTGTTCAATATTTCCTATTTAAGAACTGAACTGTTAATAAAAGACATATAGCTTATGTCATTTTACTCTCAGTGAAAATGTCCAGCTCTCCTAAGAGGAAACTCTACTAGAGGTAGTTAAAGTAGATCTACTCTGGAATGACGAATCTTGAGAAAGGCCATTGAATTACAGAGTAGTGGACCCTCATCCTCGCAGCCTGGTCCCCTCTTGTTCCCCTCGGAACCTTTGCGCCACAATTCTGGGGGCGGAACGATGCCAGCTGCACTTCCCCAGGTCAGCCCTTGGGGGCCGCTATCGGCCCGTGTGCCTGTGGACCAGACTCGGCGTGCGTGCAGCTTCCTGACGTAACGTCCTGCCCCGGGCGGAAGTCCTCCGCTAGCGTACCGGGAAGTAGCTAAAGTCTGGGCGATGGCGATTCTGGAGGCATTATTCCTGGGAAGACCTGGAGTTACGGTGCCTCCGCGGTAGACCGTACCGAGGTGGCGGGCTCTGAGGCCTCGAGGTGAAGGACGTCAGGGGCTGAGCCGAGGATTTAGGAGAGAGCTATGACGGTCCCTTTTGTGTTCCCCCTTTGACCCCAGCTCTAACCTGCCTTTAGCTGGGCTGCCCCGGAAGCAGGTCCACCTAATGTGCCGCTTCTGGAGGGCACGGAGGGGGGGGAGATTTTTTCCCTTTCACAACTCCCTAGGTGGAAGCCGAGGCCTTCGGGTTCACGGGCATCGCTTTCCCCTAACACCTCCCCACCCCCACAGGGATGGAGGGGTCTAAGACGTCCAGCAGCACGATGCAGGTAAGCTTCGTGTGCCAGCGCTGCAGCCAGCCTCTGAAACTGGACACAAGTTTCAAGATCCTGGACCGTGTCACCATCCAGGAGCTCACAGGTCAGTGAGACTCTTGGAATTAGTTTGATCTAGATCATGAAGAGGGGGCAGCTTTGGAGATAGAAGCCTTTTGGTGGCTATGTTTGTCGTCTGCCTCAGAGCTGCCACGGGAACCCAGGAATGACTTCATTTCTCTGGCTCCCTAGTGTTCACATTATGAAATAAAGCTGCTAAGGGTTTTGTGTAGCAGAGAAAGGCTCCTCTTTTTCTCCTGTTTCAAAGTAAAGGAATAGGTATATGGTATTAAACAGTATTTATGGTTTACCACGTACGGATGGGTTGCATGCATTATTTCATTTAGTCCTGCAACAACCCCACGAGTAATGCCGTCATCGTAATAATTTTACAGATGACTTGAAATTCATAGATGTTATGTGACTTTTCCAAAGACCAAAAACTGTTAAGTGAAAGGGCAGTGTCCCAAATCTATAAATGTCTGATCCCAGGAAATGAAGTGGAGTGAGGCCAAGGGTCTTGTAGAGAGACCCTTCTTACCTGAGAAAGAAATTTAAACTAAAAAAAAAAGTTTAAATTCATGCATTTAGAGTAAGCCTGCTTGGATTTAAATTCCGGCTGTTTTTTACAGCTGAGTGTGACTTTTTGCAAGTTATTTCATACTTAAGCTTTAGTTTCTCTGTAAAATGGAATTTAAACCTACTTCATAAATTGGTTGTGATGATCAGTTTTGTCACAAAGCACATATCTAAAAAAAAATTAAATAAATAAAATAAAATTTAAAAAAAAAACACAAAGCACATATCTAGGCATATGTTTGACAAATTGTTGCTGTTACTATCACCCCAAGTCCAATTCATGGTAACTCCATGTACAGAAGAAAAAAGATTACCCAGCCCTGCACCATCTTCACAATCCTGAGTGTGCCTGAATCCACTGTTGTGACTGTTGTGTTTCGAGTGCCTTCCAAGCAAACGGCCTCATTTTCCACCCTTGTATCAGATAACTTGTAATCGATAGGAGTGTTTATTATCTAATTCAAGTGTATCAGAGATGATAGAAGGATTGCATAGGATAGGGCAAACTTCAACTCTGTTCATAGAGTTGCTTTGAATCATAAGCCACTTGACCATACCTGACAACAATGACAGTTCTGAAGTAGATTACCAGACTTTTATTCCTACTCGGGGACCTCTGGTAGTGTAGTGTATAGCGAGTTGGAGCAGTTAACCCAAAGATGGTGCTTCTCTAGCAGTTGGAATCCATCAGCAGCTCCACAGAAGGAAAATGGGCTGTCTCCTTTCATACAGTTTAAAGCCTCTCAAAAACTGCTGGAGGGTCATTTCCGACCTGAGAGCACTGAGGTGTACTCCTCACCTGTCTTAATGGTACTCTTAAAAAGTTGATAGTGAGGATGAGAATATTGCAGCTTCGTTTCCTGTACTATCCTAAAAGCCCCCTGTTTGATAAGGCTGTTTCATGACTTGATATTCTCCTTGTCCTTAGCTCCATTACTTGCCACAGCCCAGGTGAAACCAGGAGAGACCCAGGAGGAAGAAGCTAACTCAGGAGAGGTAATAGAAGTGCTGCCTTCTTACTCAATAAATACTGTAGGTGGTATTTGGTATGAAAACCTGGGACTACAAATTGAGCTTCTTAGGGAGCTCTGGTGGCCTAGGGGCAAGAAGCTGCACTGTAATCCCAGAGGTACTCTGTTCAGATCCACCAGATGCTCTGCTAGAGAAGGAGGGGCAGTCTCCTCCTGTACCAGTGAGATCTGATTTGATGGTACACTCACAAAAAATAATAAAATAAAAATAAATTTAAAAAAATAATTAGCTTCTTCTGGGTATTTGGTTCTTTTGAACCCCCTAGACTGTCGGATCTCTGGTGAACAAGAAGGGAGCTCTGGCAGCCCAGTCGGTAGGGAGTCGTGCTGCCAGGCCAAAGGTGGTAGTGCTTCATCAGGAGAAAGATGAGCATCCTCCAGTGCAATTTAAAGCCACTGAAAACTCACTGCAGGGTCAGCTCTCAGTTCTGACTCAGTAGGAATGTGTTCTGAAATATTTGACATGATTAGGTCATTTGTAGACTATCAGAGGTGCAGCAGTAGACCTGACACCACAGGTTTACTGACTGAAGAATCAAAAAATATGAGTCAGACCTACTGATGTTGATTTGATCATAACACCATATAGTACAAAGTAGAGCTCTCTTAAATCTTTAGAAAAGCAGAATTTATTTTTCTCTTACAGAGCAACTGGTGGTTTAGGTCCCTGACCTTTCAGTTAACATTTGAGTGTTTAGCCATTGTACTTTCAGAACTCTTAAAAATGTGAGCAGAGAGTTCTTTATTTGAAGCAGAATGATGAGTCGTGATAGTCCAGGTCTTCCAGAGAATTCTTGGGTTTCTGTTACTCTCGAAGCATCTTTGTTTGGACATTGAATGACATGATTGACCTCTTCAGAAAGGATTGTCAGTAGAAGGAAACATGTCATTTTTAAACTATATATAAAGTGATCATGTGAGCATGTCAGTGATAATTACTTAGTGCCAGAGGTAGGTGTCCTAGGATTTAGACTACAAACATGAGCTACCCACTTAGCTCTATACTGTGGCAAACTTAATGTAGTCTGATACTACTTTTTCCTTGTGCTGTGATTTAGGACATTATTTCTTCAATCCTTGACTGGTAAGTGTTAAAAAACATAAAAATAACCATAATAAAGTATAACATAGTTAAGAAATGCTGTTCTAAAACAAAAAATCAAGCTTAAGGTTTGTGTGTCCACTGATCTTATTGCCTTTATCCAAGGCTTAACTACACAAAACCTTTCTAAAGTGTCTGGTTTGTCAAGTCTTGTGGTTGTCAAGGGCAAACTGAATAGTTCTGGGTAAGTAGACTCTGTTTCTAAACTGCCAACACTCATTTCTTTCTTAGGAGCCGTTTATTGAAACTCGCCAGGATGGTGTCTCTCGCAGATTCATCCCCCCAGCCAGGTGCCTACTCCTTAGCCCCCTGTTCCTTGTCAAAGGCCAGTAGAATTTTAGTTGAACCCAAGGGTTGAGACCTGAAGCCAGGTGATGGCAATGAATTATTTATTACTTATCATTTTGACTCCTCCAGAACAGATATACTGTCCTGTACCTGACCTGTCACCCTCCAGAATTGATACTATCCTGTAGCCATTCACATAGTAAGCAGGAACAGGGAGTGATTGATTAGTAAAAGAGAAGACTCTTGAATTTTAAAATATCAGTGTTGTGAAATGTTCCCCTATTCTCATTGATGGATGTAAATGTGGTGAGAGGTGTAATATTAAGAAGTGATTTTCCTTCCTTTTCTGTTATATACATACTCACACATACCAGTTTTTGATGCCCCCTTTCCCTTAACCGGTCCAGGCCAGGCTTTGTGTTGTGTGTCCCTGGAGAAGACCAGCACGGCCTTCCCTTGGGAGAGAGACACTCATGGGAGGTCAGTTAGGTTAGAAATGGGAATGTGCCTCAAGGCCCTTCAGCTGGTGCATGAGAGTCTCTGCCACTGGCACCTCAGTAGGTGGAGGAGGCCTCTCTGCTACCTCATGTGGCCCGTGGGCGGGGGGCTGTCTACAGGATGATGTCAACAGAAAGTGCCAACAGCTTCACTCTGATCGGGGAGGCATCTGATGGCGGCACCATGGAGAACCTCAGCCGAAGACTGAAGGCAAGGCACCCTGTTTCCATGTTCAGGGAGTGGGCGTGGTGGCTAGGAGGGGGCTAGGAGAGGGTGGTTGGACAGATACTATAAAGGCCCCAGCTCTTTTCTCCCATCCTCTCAGGTCACTGGAGATCTTTTTGACATCATGTCAGGCCAGACTGATGTGGATCACCCACTGTGTGAAGAATGCACAGATACTCTATTAGACCAGCTGGACACCCAGCTCAACGTCACTGAAAACGAGTGTCAGAACTACAAGTGAGTGCCAAAAGATCTGGGGCCCAGGAACAGATCTAGGGCAAAGAGCTGTTACCACTCTTGGCTTTTCCTCAGAAGTTTTTTCCTCAGGCAAACAGAACAACACGTTCTCTCTGCTAAGTATAATCTACCCATGTCTCCGGCAGGTGCTGTTTGGAGCTCTTAGAGCAAATGAATGAGGATGACAGTGAACAGCTACAGATGGAGCTAAAGGAACTGGCATTGGAGGAGGAAAGACTCATCCAGGAGTTGGAAGATGTGGAAAAGAACCGCAAGATAGTGGCAGATAATCTTGAGAAGGTCCAGGCTGAGGCAGAGAGACTGGATCAAGAGGAAGCTCAGTGAGTGACCACAGTTGTCTACTTCTCTGAGGCTACAGGAGAGGAAATGACTTCCAGCTGAATATGCCTGATTAGCTTGTAAGCTACAGTCAGCAGCATACTGCTAGGCTCTGCTTCTTGAGGCTTACGGGAGGGTTATAGATGAATAGTCAGGATGATTAAGAGAAAAAAAGCATTGATTTCACAGATTAAAGAAACTAGGACTATGAAAAACACACAAAACAAACTAGGGCTGGAATCGAGAGTCTGTCCTGTAGGGAACTGGGCTCATCTGGTAAGTCAGCTCCAGAACCCAGCATCCACATCTGGAAAGATGAGGATTTAGCCACTCAGATCAAAATTTCATTTGTAGTGTGGACCGGAGAGAGCTCTTTGTCTTGGGGAGTAGTCATCTCTCAGTCGGTACTAACTGAAATTGGGAAAGTAAAGGACAGGAAAAAAAGTCAGTTTCTTTTCAGACATTTTTGGAATGGTGTATGCTAACTACTTAAAAGACAGTGTACAGGAGAAGAGGCACAGAATCTCTGTTGTAGCCAGTTTATAGAAGCCACTCTTGGCCCTCTCTCCCCACTTTTGGAAAAGATCAGAAATATATGAAGTGCTTTGTTCCAACTTTGGGAAGTCCTGTTTTCCTCTACCTTTTTTGTATATGGACGCTTGAAATTCGAGACATTTTTGTTTCTCTCAAGCACAAAAAATATGGCCTATTAGTTCCTCTGATTTAAAATCTATGACAAGTAAAAAAAGATGTTGTAGCTAGGTGTAACTATCTCACTAGAGTAAGTCATTCTAAGGGGTGGTGAAAGGGAAATGTTAGCCCCAAAACTAACAGTCTTCTGTGGCCACCTTGCCTGCTTCAGATACCTAAGGGAATACAGTGAATTTAAGAGACAACAGCTGGAGCTAGATGATGAACTGAAGAGTGTAGAAAACCAGATGCGTTATGCCCAGATGCAGCTGGACAAGCTGAAGAAAACCAACGTCTTTAATGCAACCTTCCACATCTGGTAATGAGGGCTGGGTGAGCAGCATATGGGAGACACTGCATATCTGGTTATTATTAGCTGTGACCTCGAAGCCAGAGTGCCCACTTGCCCACATAATAGAGAATGAATGTCATCTCTACCTGTGTAGATTTCTTTCATTACTTATGGTGGAGAAGCATAGTCAGGAGATTAGAATTCTAGAATTTGGTGGTATCTCCCCTTCCAAGGAAAGGGAACAGTCTGAACCACCAGCTACGTAAAAGCATGGGCTTGTGGCTGGTGCTGAATTTTCGTTTCCAGGATCATTCATGTAGTAATTCATTGACTGTGCCTCTCAGCTGTTATCTGATGAGCTTCTGCTATGTAGCAGAATTGCTAAATACCAACAGGGCAATCAAACGCTACGTAGTCTACCTTCTAGTTGTAATTTTGTCAGGCGGATAGATAATAGGCAATTGTAATACCGTAGAATAATAGTAAACTCAGGGTGCTGTGGGAATACATGAGATAATTTTACCCAATTTTAGTAGGCTTCATGGGAAGTTTGCACCAGAGGAGGCTGATGTTTAAGATGAAACCTGAAGTTGTTTCTGATGGAGGGGCTTGTTCCCAGCAGAGAGAACATCATGTGCAAAGAAACAGGAAAGAGGGAGTGGTGAATTCAGAGAACTGAAAGAAGCTTATTGTGACTAGAGATTGAGTGCAAAAGGGAGAGGGACAGGATATGAAATTGGAGAGTCCCCAGTTCCTGAAGGATCTTGTAGGCCTCGTTAAGGGAGTTGGACTTCATCCATTAAGCAGTGGGAGCCATTGAAGCATTTTGGGCAGGGAGATGACATCATTATGTTTGTATTTGTGAAAAATAGTTTTACCTGCAGGGTAGGAAATGGCTTGGGGGTCGGAATAGTACTGTTGGTAAAACAGACTTGTTAGTATAAATCTAAACTGGAAAAGATGGGCAATTACAACTGGAGAGAAGTGGGCAGGTGTAAGAGATTATGAGGTCGAAGCAACAAAGTTTGGATTTTGGAGGGAGAGAATTGACAGAGAAAGGATTCAAGGACAACACATAGGTTTCTGGTTTGACATCCGAGCAATAAGCGGAAAGATGATTTGGATGTGTGTTTAAAGTGGAGCAGAGATACACGAATCTGGGGAAAGGTTTATATTTTGGTTGAGAGGTTTATGTTATATTTTAGCTGAGAAATGGAAATTGCTAAGTGATAAATTCTCTCCGTATTCTCTGCTGTTCTCTTCCTTCCTCTGTAGGCACAGTGGACAGTTTGGCACGATCAATAACTTCAGATTGGGTCGCCTGCCCAGTGTTCCTGTGGAGTGGAATGAGATTAATGCTGCCTGGGGCCAGACGGTGTTGCTGCTCCATGCTCTAGCCAATAAGATGGGTCTGAAATTTCAGAGGTAGGAAATGTCATTCTTTCCTGAGGTATGATGTGTCTTTGGTACAATTTTATCTCTAGGCTGATCTTACTTTCCACTACGGCAAGAGCCCCTGCTCCCCACAGGTTGGGAGTTCCCAGTGGATGGAGACTCTGCTTTGTGGCTTTCCCCTCACCACAGAGCTGTCTGTACAGGTAGAGCAATCAGTGATTTGTATGAACATAGTTGTTGTTGTTGATTGCCTTTTTGAGTTGAGCATGACTCATAGCGACCCTATGAACAAAGACCTGAAGTCTTTTTATAACTATCATCGTTTATCAAAGTTCTTAAGAGTTTCCAGAGGCATGTTGTTTAAGAAGTGTATGTCATTTCTGCTCCCAAACCTGTCTTAAACTGGGATCTCCACCAAACACTGTCCACCATGGCATTTGACACCCCAGTGGCACAAGGTTCAGCATCACAGCAACCCCAGGTTACCTTAGTACAACATATTGACAGAAGAGTCTATACCACTTATAAGAATGTTCCTCCAAAATTTAATAACCAACTTTTAAATACAAAGGCTCTCCCCAAGGTCTTACTGACTCTAAGCAGAGGCTTAAATTAAAAAAAACAACCAACATAGTATGTTGTTATGTGCCATTGAGTAGCCTCCAACCTATAGCAACCCTGTGTACAGCATCTCTGAACCCTCCTTTGTCCTGATCTAGTCTCACTAATTCCAACACACAAACCCCCATTGTCCCAGATACTATATCTCATCCAGGGTCTTTCTCTCCTGTGCTGTCCCTCGACCCTTTTGAGCATGATGTGCTTCTCCAAGGACTAATCTCTCCTAGCCATGTGCCCAAAGTATGTGAGACACGGACTCAAAATTCTAGCCTCCAAGGGGAGACTTGGTTTCATCCTCTTCAAGACAGGCTTGTTTTCTTGATGGTCCATGGTTCAAGACTCCTCTCCAGCATCACAACTTGAAGGCATCAATTCTTCTCCTGTCATCCTTAGTTGTTGTTGTTGTTGATTGCCTTCAAGTCTAGCACGACTCATAGTGACCCTATTGAACAAAAGACCTGAAGCCTTTCTATAACTATGGTCATTTATCAGAGATCATAGAGTTTTTGGAGGCATGTTGTTTAGAAGTGGGTCTCAATTTTGACTTTTCAGAACTTGAGTATTCCTCATGCTGTTTTCACTTTTTTGAATTTATACCAAATATATATTTGTCCTTGAAAGGTTCCAGGCCTTAACAGTAATAATAATAAACCCATAATAAATGTCAGTTGTTAGTGAAAGAAAATCTCTTAAAATATTGAGCATATAACGAGGTAGGGAAAAGGGGTAGGAATAACATGGGCCCCTCGGTAGGATGAAGATTGAAGTTAAAGTTCACTGAGTTAAACTTTCCAATAATCACCTCAGGAGAAGTCTTGCATAACCATTTCTGTGTTTCTTTTTAGGTATCGACTTGTTCCCTATGGAAACCATTCATATCTGGAGTCTCTGACTGACAAATCTAAGGTACATACAATCTGTTTATCACTTTAGAGTTCTCATATCTTCTAATGAAATGTGTGGTTTAATTTATATTCTGGCATTTTATTTCTTAGAGGAGTCTCTCTCAGAGAGCCAGTGTCTTTAGTAAGTTAGACTGTTTGGGGCCTCTAGAAAAAAACTGTTGTTACAGCCTGTTGAAAAATTATCTGGACAGAGCCCAGGAGGATGTGTGCTAGCATGGGGAAGGAATCACTGTGAGGTTGATACTTTGTGCATCTCCACAGTCATGAAGATAGTCTTAAGTACTTTGTTACTTGCTCAAGGTTATTGGAGTTGCTCAAGGTTATGGGAAATAAAGTCCAGCCCCAGTAGAATACAGATGAACGTGACTTGCTAGAATGAGGGCCAGTCTCTGGTGGCGGGCCTTGATGTCCTATCCATAGTCACTTTTCTCTTCCTGAGCAGGAGCTGCCGTTATACTGTTCTGGGGGATTGCGCTTTTTCTGGGACAACAAGTTTGATCATGCCATGGTGGCTTTCCTTGACTGTGTGCAGCAGTTCAAAGAAGAGGTTGAGAAAGGCGAGACCCGTTTTTGTCTTCCTTACAGGTATTTTCCAAAGTTGAGTAAACCTATAGTAGAGCCAAACTGAACATGAGAAAATACTAAGAATGAAAGCAAAAAGACAGAATAGATGGTACTGAACTGAAAGCAAAAAACAGTGTAAGAATCACATGAAACTGACGGGCAGAGACCAGCAAGACAGAATGTGATGATCTGCTCCCCAAAGAGAAAGAGTGTGGTCTAAGACAGTTTGGGGATTGATTTATTTATTTTTTTGCTACAAAGCTCAAACCTGTTCCTCTCTGGTTCAGGAAGGTTTTCCCCAAAACTCTTGGAAATTTACAAGAATGCTTATTTGGTCAATTCTCGTATGAGCCTAGTGACAGATGGAAACCTTAGTTCAAGGAGTAAGACTGGCTGCTTCTGTCACCCCAGACAAAGCTTTTCCTTTCTTCTGTCTCCCTTCTCTCCCCATGAGTTCAGGGATGCCTAGGAAAACAGTGAGGACTACTGTAACCCTCTCTCACCTTTTGCTCCTGGCTTCTCGTCTGTTTGAGTGTGTGTCCTGTCCCTGTACTCCATCATGACAATGAAGCTCTTGTGACAGCCTTCTTGACTTTTGGCTTTCAAGCAAATCCAAAATACACCACAGTTCCTCGCCAAGAGTTCTTTAATAGATAAAATGACGTGAATGGTCCCATGATCAAGTCCCTGCCCATTTGCCTGAGCTGACTTAACTCAGATCTCAGTTACTAATGAGCTCTGCTGTGTCCTGCAGGATGGATGTGGAGAAAGGCAAGATTGAAGACACAGGCGGCAGCGGTGGCTCCTATTCCATCAAAACCCAGTTTAACTCTGAAGAGCAGTGGACAAAAGCTCTCAAGTTCATGTTGACGAATCTTAAGTGGGGTCTTGCTTGGGTATCTTCACAGTTTTATAACAAATGACTTCATTTGGGGTTTTTTATTGGATGGTGTTTGCCTTAAAGGCTTTACATTTTGTTTTCTTTGCAATAAAATGTTTAAATTTAGGTAATATTGAACAGCACATGTTTACAATACCAAAAAAAAAAAATAACACAAAAGCCACTTTATTTTGAAATATCATGTGACGTAGTTTTGAGAGCTACAACAAACTGTATCTATATTGCTACCAGCCCTTGTTATAGTTTGACTCTTAAACTCATACCTTCTTTTGATCCCTTCCCTCAAAACAACTAATTTAAGTTTGTTTTTTAAACTAAGAGTTGAATTGAGATAGATGTGTTTCCACTGGATTTTCTCTGTCTCAACTTCCTGCATTTAAAATATGTAGTAGAAACCTTTGTCTCCATTGAGATGAGTGAGATGTGACAGAGTTGGATAACGTGGGAAAATGACATAGAAGCTTCGCCTGGTCACTATGTGATGTGATCATAAGCTTGAAATGTAATACTTCACTTGGTTGTAGCACTGAATGCCTACTCTTCTCTGTTAGAGATATGGTGTTTGATACTGTTTGAGCATTATGGAAAGATTTAATTGTTTATAATAAAATATTTGCTACAGTCTGATAACTGCAAAGAGGTATGTTGTTTGAGTCTTAATTTAAAAAAAAGGACTTTGTATTCTGGGAGAATTGAGTTCAAGTACATCTATTTGATTATTTTGAAACATGCTTAGTTTTGTTTTGCTTTGTTTTTAAGTAGTAGTGAAAAAAGCTGTAGAAGCAGCCCTATCTTTGTCAGTCTTGATAGCAGAACAGAGGTGTTAACTGTAGATGGAAATAAAGTCTACCTCCTTGAAGCTCAGCCAAGGCCATCCAGATGGTTTGGTTTTTAAGCCCTTGGTTAATACTAATCTCCATAGCCAATGTTCTCGCTTTTATTACTGTTATAAAACTAAATATAATGCAATATTTGTCAACTCAGTGTTCTCTTTAACAGTTAAAGAGAAAAACCCTGAGTACCTTAAAAGACAAAAATTAACCAGTTTCACTAACACTGTACCTTCTCCCAACACTGTGACATTTTCTAATAAAACCCAAAATACATGTCTGTCCATGTTGGCCCTGTCGCTGATAAGGAAAAAAATAAACTTAAAACTAGAACACAAAATATAGTTCAGAAAATACTAACTTTTGTCCCCAAGTAATGAAAGTAAACGGGGGGAGAGAGGGCTACAGTGATAGACGGTTGTTTATATTTGGCGGACTCAGCCTGCCTCATGTGTTGGAGGCAGCAACAGCCGTCAGAGCTCTGGCTGCCAGGTGGGGAGGAGCAGTCTGCTGTCGCCCTGGAGTATTGGCTCCCACGCTGTGAGTTAGGATTACATAAGAGAACTCGGCAATGCTCTCCAAGGCCATGCCAGTGATGCTCTGCAAATGTCCCACAACCTTCAGAAAAAGACAGATTTCTTCTTGGTAAATAATTTCAACATGATTTACAGTGTGCACACACATACTTTACTTTGGAAACTCTCTCAAGCCAAATGTAAAAATTGAGTTTCTCTGAAATCTTGGGAAAGATTAAATCCAGATTCTAATACTTGCCAGGGGCTAAATGACATTAGAATACCTTTGTGCTGATAGTTGAAGTAGAATACCTTTGTGCTGATAGTTGAAGCAGGATGGAAAACAATATGTTAGACATTTCCCTCTCCTAAGTTTTATGAAATTGTGAGAAGGGTCTCTGGGTCTTGACATTATCTCTATTTGGCAAGATCTAGAAGCTGCACTGTAATCCCACAGGCATGCAGTTTGAATCCACCAGTTGCCTCACAGAAGAAAGATGGGCAATCTCCTCCTGTGTAATTTATTGCCTCTGAAGATCACTGGAGGGTCATCTGTGGGTCTGTGATGGCACACAACACAACAACGTGCAATGGACTATAACATACTAGTGGGTCATCATCATAAGGGGCAACAAATAAGCCGAACTTGGGCCCCATTTCCAATTTCATAGGAGGATAACTAGAGACAGTTTTTCAGTTCTGCCCTAATTTCCCTGTCCCAAATCCTGCTTATTCATCCTCATCCTATAGTTTGGCAATTTTTGTAGCTTGTCTTTTGTTTGATTGATGGGGGAATGCTGTCTATTAAATTCTTACCAGACTGGTCCTACTCAGTGATGCGTACCTGGCTCCAATACTCATGGTTTTGGATGAAAGCACTTGCTGCAATGATTCCTGCTGCCAAGAGCATGAAGTCTTCCTTCACTGAAATAAACTTTTCCCTGAGTAATTAAAACCACATTCATTTTAGAGCTAGAATGAGACTTGATCTTCTAAGTTCTAGGGTCATGGAACTTCAACTAAGTATTGTTTATGCTTCTGATCTTGGAATTTTTTAGACATGGAAGGAAATGGTCAAGTAATAGCTAACTGACCCCACCCCTGCCCTCCTTCAATTCAACTGGGATTAAAACATGAGCCTCAGGTCTGAATTGTTTACAGACCTTTTGTTAATGCATCTGTCTTGTTAACAAATGTAATTGTGAGACTTTTTAACAATCTGACTTTACAGTAATCAAACACTTTTGTCCAAGTTGCGACCCTGTGACTAGTTGATTTTAGGGTAGTTCTTTTTCCTTCTTAAATGGTTATAAAAGCACTCTGGTGATGGCAAATCTTAAGCAGCTATAAAGACAAAGGAAAAACTAGGAAAGAATATGTTAATTAGCTAAAGTCAATTTTTAAAAGTTAGGGTTTTGTTGATTGGGCTCACTTATTTACGCTTAAGTAACACATTGAAAATTAATGAACCAGGTAACCTGTGCAAGCTCTCTATGTGAGCTGGATGGTTTACTTGGTTAATTCTATCCCCCAAGTTCTTAAGCACTGCTCCCTGTTTGTGGAAGGAGCCCGCCCTAGAGGATGTGCCTTACCTTTGCAGCTGACTGGGTGTGGAATTCTCAATTGAAGTCCTCAACAAACTCTCATATATGGGTTCATGCTGTAGATAGACGAGATCAAGCAGGGTCAGGCAAGTTGCATACAACTGTGCAGCCGGAACCAAGCAGCCATTGTATCCTAGATGGAGTATGGGAATTGTAAGGAGTATTAAGTGTGTCTTCACTGATCTTAACCACAGTTGTAACATAAAGCTGTTGAGCTGTTAATTTATTTCCTGGTTGCTATGTTCAACTAAAAGAAACCTGTTTGGCTGGAGTCCAGTTTTAAAGGACAAAAGGAAACATATATACAATTAAATTATATTTGCTTTTCCTCCACTTAGCCTATGCCTCTCTACAAAATGAATCCTACAAGGAAGTGTATAGTTATTTGAAGTAGAAAACACCAGCTAAGACCTCAACCTCTTTCCCTGACATAAAGGTATACCTTCCTCAGTCACCCAGATGTACTAGAGAGGTTCCTGCAATTCTGCCCACTGCCACCAAGCCCTTGGGCACATGTTTAGTTGCCATAAATGGAAGATTCCAAGCTATATCCCCTGTTATACTTAATAAAAGTACCTAAAACTTCTAGAAGAATCTCCACATACGCCAGGGGAGTGGGCAGATTGATTTGGAAGTTTAAGGACTTCAAAACATCAAGCTCTGACTCCAGTAGTTCTTCTTTAGTGTATTGATAACCTAGAGACTGGAGGAAATTCAGTACTGTAATATTGTTGATTATCTAAGAAAGAAAAACAAAAAAGGTCATATTTCTTGGCATAGTGTACATAGCCCCCATAAACCAACCCATCTTCAGTTTTCTCTTTCAGCAATTTCCCCTTCCACTCTACTTATATGGAATTTGTAGTTTACCAAATCCGCCTTACTCTCCTCCCAGCCTCTACTTGGGTTTGCTATACCTTATTCTTTCTTTCATTGCATTCCCTTTCCTCTTTCTTAACAATTTATCCAACTCCTGCTTAAAGAAGTAATTTTCTTTAAAAGCCCTTCCTTGATTTTCCAAAGCTGTTCAGGTGCTGTGCAGTCTCTTCTTTTTCCCATTAGATAATTAATTGAGAGCACAGACAATATTTTTACCAAGTGTAAACATACCATGTAGTTTTAACAACTGACCATTGAAGACTCTCACATTGAAGGGATGATATGATATTGTACACCATTTGGTAGTAGTGTGGAGCTGTTTTATTTTTTGTAAAGGTAATTCTTTGCCTTTAATGCTGATAAGTATCTTGGCAATACGGGTACTTTATGTAAACTGTCCTTGAGTCTAAGGGGAGGGAAGGTGACCTGTATGAATGATGGCATCTGTCCAACAATTATACTTTGGGAACACAACTTCAGGCTATTTAATAAGTGCCTCTGTGTGACTGTGTGTGTGCACGCGCGTGTGTGTGATTAGGATGCATGCTTAAGAAGCATAATTGCACTCTGGAATTTCCACGTGAATAAAATCACCTAGCCTAGCCTCTGAGTAATTTTCTCACAGCCACCTTTGGGTGGATGGACTTCTTAATACTTAGTCACCCATGAGAGGCCCCAACTCCTTACTTTGTAATGGAAGGAAAGTTTGCTGGCTAGCTGGACGCATGACACAAGACGCAGGATATACTTGTTGAAAAGCTGCTCTTTCAGAGACCTCCAATTCTGAGGCTCCTTCTTCTCATTACCTCTCAGCTGGAGTGTGGCTTGCTTGCAAATGCTCTCTGCCTGCTTAACCATAAACCTGTAAGAGCAAGCAGAGGGGAGTAAACAGTCCATACTCACACAAACTATAAAGGGAGTTTGTGCTGCAAACTCTGTTCTGTTTTATCCTAATATTAATTACTGGTTAAGGAATTTAATTTACAAGTAAAAAAGAGGCAAACATATGTTTCCAGGTAAGGGGCAACTTGTACTTTCCTAAAGATGTGGCCAACATTAGCCACTCAGAAGGCTACTGCTTAAAACGCCTTATGCTCAGGGCTTTACCTTTCTAGGATTTCTACAGCCTGGTAGCTCACAGATTTCTCCAGACACCATTGTTCAGACAGGAGAAAAACAAATTCTGCCAAAACAGGAAAGAAGAGCCCAATTCACAAGATGCAACCCAAACCACTCTGAACTCTTGGCACTGTGTAAAAGCTGTGATGGGGCCAAGGGAAGAGGGTCAAGAGGTGAGAAAGATGAGACTGAAACAACCAAAACTGAGCTTAGTTCCCTTTGCTGCCAGTAGGCAGATCAGAGATATGAAAAGAAGGCTGACTGACTGCCAAAGACAAGGGTTTACCAGGTCCCCTCAATGACCCTACAGACTTCCTGTGGGTCTCAGCTGATAAAAGGACTGGAGAGTTACATACAAACATAACCAGCTGGTCTACTTGGCCTCTACAGCATGCTGAGGACCCCCCAGGTCCAAGGGAGATTCTTGGATGGATGAAAAACCTAACCCCTATATTGTGTTCTCAATGGAATGTTGGCAGGAACAGAAAGGTCTCTCCTGGAGCTTCAGTATTCCTTATGGCACTGTTTGTTTAGTAACCACCCTCTGGAGAACTCCCATTGCTTTACAAACATGATTCACCTTACAGCTGGACACCATCTCTCCACCACGAGTTTGTTGGGTAAATCTGTGGTGGGTGAGCTTTTCCCCAGGAGCAAGTTTGTTTTTGTTCACAGTACCTTGTTTTAAAGAAACATCCTTGAAATCAAAAACATCCCTGGGGAAAATAGGAAGGGCAAGATATCTTGGCAAGATTTTAGGCTGCCTCTGTTTCTCTTTGAGAGAACCGCCCTAGATAAAATTCTGTTTGGCTTTCAATATCACCAGAGGGTGGAAACAAGGACAAATGTCAGTTCTCAACAAAGTAAGCTCCTGCATACCTAGAAACTTTGCTCTCTTACTCTCTCATTGTCGTTGAAACTCATAGCTGACCCTCTAGCAGGTTTCCAGAGACTGTAAATCACACAGGAGATTGCCCATCTTTCTACCAAGGAGCAGCTGGTGAATTTGAACTGCCTGCCTTTGACTTGGCAGTGTTAACTCTTTACCCATTAGGCCACCAGCACGCCTTAAAAACTTTTCACACTAGCTAAGAAAAAAAATTATGTATAGCTATATTACCACAAATCTTCAGTGAAAATCCTTCTTGGAGTGGGATTGGAGGGTGAAGGGAGGTACAAAAAAATCAAGTACCAAAGAGTAACAGTCTACTCAACATGCATCACACATATGTGTGGCATATAACAAAACCCAGTTGTCACAGGTAACACTGTGCTGTTAGCAATGCCAAGACAAGTGCAATTGGAAGAATTCCCCAAAATACTCTACATGTCTATTATTAGTCAACTCTTTCATTTGCAGGAGTTCAAGCTTCTTTTTGTTCTTTATCTGCACTTGTAGCTGTTTGCTTTTGGCATGAATAATTTGGGTTATGTTTGTTTTCCATTTTAATTTGCTGAGAAAATTGAGCTTCGGTTGTTGGAATCTAGGAGTGTTAAACCTCTTCCTTGCTACCAGCTCTCTTTCCTCTGCTTCCAAATACTCAGTGCTACCTTCTTCAGCTTCTCCTTCCCTTTTAATTTTTTTTGAAAGCCTAGCATGCTTACAACTGCTGCTTCTACTTCATCATTCACTCTTTAATTTGCTACACTTTGGCTTCTACTTTTCTAAATTTGCTGAAATTATGGCAAATATGAGTAGCTATATCCAATTGTTCAATAGCCTGGTGGTCTTGGAATCCTCATTACCTTTAATATCCTTGAAGCGTTTGAAACTACTAATCATTGTCATTCTTGAAACTTCTTCCAAAGATTTCTTGATTCTGCTCCTATCTCCCCACTGCTTCTTTTATTTTCTTCCTGCTCCAATTCCCCAACACAAAATATTTCCTGAGGAACTGTGTTCTTGATCTGTTTCTCTTCTTCTCTCTAGGAACATATTCTCTGCCATAGTTTCAGTAATCATTATGGTAATGAGTCTCAAATTTCTATTTCTGACCTAACTTTTAAATGGCCTGGTAAACCCTCTTCTAGGTAAATATTCTGCCAGCACCTCAAACTCAGTAGCTTCAAAACTACCTTTCCAAGCAAAAATCAACTTCATGGTTTTCTTTAAACAAAAAATATGATTGTATGTTGTTTCTGTTAATGACATCAATGTAACTCCAATCTCAGATCTCAATCATTGGCTTAGTCCTATTTGTCTTCACCTTTTTAATTTTCTACTAGTTCACTTACAAAATTCAAATAACATTCTTTTCAAGAACAAATTTGTTCAATTCACCCTTCTTTTTAAATCCACTCATTGTAGAACTATAACTTTATACTTTCAAAATGTTTTTAACCCATCTTCCCTTGTCATTCCCTCTACTCAATCACCTAGACTGACAGAAACTCTATTGGTCCACCTACTTCCTCTTTTAACCCATCTTTTACCTCAGTGCCAAAATATTCTTCTGTTATTCAAAAGCCTTCAGAGGCTTTCCTTACTAAAAGCAAGTATAAATCCCTTCCCTTGGTGTTCAAAGTTCTACAGAGAATGTCCCCACATTACTTTTCTGGTATTAACCTCAACTAGTCTTCCACATGCTAGTGAACCAGTATTCACTGCACCCACCTTTGCCCTAAGCTTCCCTAGAGTCATAGTTTTATTCATACTTGTCACTTTTGATTTGGTTACAGCGTTGGCTGGCTTTTTGGTTGAAATGTTGCTCCCCTCCTCTTTCTTCACCAATTCAAATAGAATCCTTCTTTCAAAGTCTACCTCAAAAAATTCCTAGAGGACGCCATTAACTGGTTTAATATGCTTGACTGATAACTGAAAGGTTGAGTTGAAAGTTTGAGTTCACCTAGAAGTGCCACAGAAGAAAGACCTAGCAACTCAGCTCCCCTCATAAAAGAGCTACTGAATATGCCACAGTACACTTCTCCTCGGACACATATGGAGTCTTCATGAGGCAGCGTCAACTCCACATCTGGCGACCCTACCTTATCCCATCACTTCTTTTGATCCCTCCTTACAAAAGCTTGCTTCATCTCTCATGCCCTTTATTATCTCACCATGCTTTTTACCTGGTCATTTGCTTACTTGTCCTAATGCTGCCCCCCCAAAATGGCACATATTTAAAAACAAGGACTGAACTAAATCTATCTCAGGGCAGTGTCAGAAAGTAATATTCCAAACACGTTAAAAGAAACCAAGGGTAAGGGGCTGCTGTGTGTGTTTTCATTAGAAACACTTCAACCACGACAATTATAGGGGTAAAGCATTCTGCATCTCCAGGCTGAAGCCCCCACGATCCCGGCCCCGTTCTGCATCCACACCCACGATCCGGGTCTCCTTGAAGCTGCCCGTCCGTCCCGCAGCCTCCTGCACCGCCTGCTCATTCTGCTGTGCCAAGTGGAGCAGAACGTCTTCGATGGTCTCCGTGGCAACAGCTCCAAACTGAAAGTCACTGAGGGAGGCTAATCTCGGCCTCTGAGGTCCGTCCATTTTCAAAGGCCTTTTGAGGCACCCTGAACCCACAGATGGGTCCACTGAAGCTTTTCGCCAGTCTTCTAGCACACCTGGGATTTCTCGTCCCCTTTCAAGTGTGTTTGTCTTCCTTAACTCTGAGGAAAACTCAGTCCCGTGCACTGCTCCCGCGTTCGAGCCCTCCACGGCCCTAACGGCTGTGCGCCGCTCAGCCAATCACAAAGCCTCCTCTCGCCCGCCCCGCCCCTATGACTGAAACGGAAAAAAGAGAGACTACAACACCCAGGATCCTTTGCGGCGCCCGCCTACTGTTCCCAGGGAGCACCGTGGCTTTGGACTGCGAAAACGTGTAGGGGCAACATGGCAGCGCCCGGAGCAGGAGACCCTCTAAATGCGAAGAGTGGAAAGGGCCCAGTGGCTCAGCGCATCGACCCCACTCGGGAAAAATTGACTCCCGCGCAGCTACAATTCATGCACCAGGTGTGTCTCACCCAGTGGCAGAAGACGCTGCCACAGCGGCGGACCCGGAACATCGTGACAGGCCTGGGTATCGGGGCCCTAGTGCTTGCTATTTGTATCCGATCATACAGTAGACGCTGGGAGGTCGCAAATTGGGGAAGGGGACTAGAGCTGCATAGGGAGCACTTGTGGCCTAGTGGCAAGAAACTGCGCGACGGTCCTAAATGCACGTGGTTCGAATCTACTTTCTGCTCCGCAGGATAAGGGTACGCAGTTTCCTCCCGTGCCATTAACTGACTCTGAAAACCCATCAGAGTTGTTCCCGATTCAACAGTACACTACAGCAAGTAGGGATGTGTGGGGTTGGTAGAACCTAAACTGCCCACCTTTAATTTGAGCAGTACAGGACCAAGCGTTTCATGTTTGGGTAAATGGCACTAATATGTGTGAATCAGATGAGATGGTGTGTAATTATCACGTTACCATATCTTTTTTTTAATTTTTTCATTTATTTTATTATTTTTGTGTGAGTGTACCGTCAAATCAGATCTGACTGGTACAGGAGGAGATTGTCCCTCCTTCCCCGGCAGAGCATCTGGTGGATTCGAACCATGCGCCTTTGGGATTGTAGTTGCAGCTCCTTACCACTAGGCCACCAGAGCTCCCCTACGCTACCATATCTTAAGATTCTCTTTTAATATGATTTCTTACAGATAGGGGAGTTGGGTTACAGGTTAAGAATGGGCAGAGACCAGAATCACTATTTTTGGGAGGATGGGAAAGTAACAAGCAAGGGTGGTGGAACAAGTCTAGGAAAAAGGATTGTGCCTTTTCAAATGGTTTCCTTAGCTCATCTCCCAGATGGCTACACCTTCTACTCAGTGTCACAGGAACGTTTCCTAGATGAACTAGAGGACGAGGCCAAAGCTGCCAGAGCCAGAGCCATGGCAAGGGCATCGAGCTCCTGAACTACATGGACCCTCGGCATTGCCAGCCTGCTGGAGCCCCTTCACATGGTGATTGATGCACTACAGTCCTGTAGAAAGTGAAGCCTGCTCACTGTTTTGTTGACCTTATCTGGTACCATGTTCCAGCCAAGGAATCTAGAGACTTAGGCATTCCGCCACAGTAAAAGGAACTTTGCCCAACTCACTGTGCAGTTACCGAGCCCTTCTTGTAGTTTCCTTGTTTGATGAGTGTGCAACCCTGACTATTCTGAAGATCCCTGACTAGTTTACCCCCTACATGCTTATGGGCATGACTCTTCTAAGGGTGGGAGGTGGTACTTCCTAGCAATGTTGGAGCCTGAAGCGGGAATGCTGGGGTCAAGTTCAAAATAATAAATTGAGTCATCTCTCTCAGAGCCAAGTGAATGTGGTAGGGCTGAGAAACCCGCATGGCACTTAGGCTGGAAAGCTTCCTGGGTAAAAGCTGTGGCAGTGGCATGGCCCCAGGGAGCCGTAAATGTTTAACTAGAATTACTTTTTCCGTGAGATCGTTCCACCTGATTTAAGTGAGAGATCATGACCAGTCACTAGGCTGTTTGAGTCTGAACCATGTCTGTGGGGGGAAGGAAGGTCACTGTGCCCTCCATCCTCAAGAACAACACACCCTTAACCTCACCTTTGCTCTGGACTGCTTTTCACACACTTAGAGAGGGAGGTGGCTGAAGGATGAGCAGCCCTCTTTGTTTTTAACTTCTACTGGAACCTGCCTATACAAGCCTAGGGTGGAGCCTAGAGGGGATCTTGGCTTGGCCAAGTGGATCGTTGACCTTGTAGTTTCCTCATGAGCTGCTGGCTGGAAGCTAGAAGACTCAACAACTTCCATACCTGCCTCCCATTAAAAGTCCTGTCTCAAGTCTCCCCTGACTTACCCCACCAGGCTTGAAATCCCCAGCCTAACATGACAGATACAATTCAAAGCCCTGGTTTCCAGCATTTTTATTGGCTTATGTGAAAATATCCAATTGGGAGTGGACCCTCTAGAAGCATCAGCGCTTGGGTGCCATGGCTTAGTGGTTGACCTTTGCCTGGGGAGGTGGCCATCATAAGCATTGAAGCCTGTAGAATTGCCACCTACTATACACAGCAAACAGTTCCCCGGGACTGACTTCCCCTGGAATGGGCCCACATCCTTGCTCTTCCACCCGCTCAGTGTTGAGGTCTTCCTTGCTGAACAGTGTGGGTCAGAAAAGCAACAGATTCTGTGATCATGAGCTCCATGGTAAGCCCTGGTGTGGTGGAGAAACTTGGCTTCTGCTCTGGATTCACTGGAGGTAAAAAAGAAAAAGCGGTGGAGAAACCTCCAGGGTAGGGGGAAAGTGAAGCCTCAGCCAGTGTCACTCCCTGGGCTCTCCCTCCTGTGGGCCCGCCCTCACCATCCTGCCAACATCCCCGGCGAATGTCACCCCCTTGCTTGCCCGCTGCTCCTGGGAGCCGGCGCTGCTGCCACTCAGGGAGTTCCTTCGCATGATGCCTGGGAGCAGGATGGGGGAGGGAGAGCACTGAATGAGGGAAGGGGTCTTGGAGAGAGGGGCAGCAGACTCTCAGGGCCTAGAAGAAAGTTGGCTTGGTAGGGAGGAACTCTTGAGAAAGATGGGAGCTAGGCTGCTGCTGTCTTACCTGGGCCCAGAGGCTCTGAGCGCTGCAGGCTGTTACGGCGGGAGGTGGGGAAGCTGCCCTTGGAGAGGCGTCGCTGGCGACTGGACAGCATAGCGGCTGGGGCCACGATGCCTGGTGGGGGCTGTTTCCCGAGCCGACTGTACAAGTCCTCAATTTCCTTTTTCTGCAGCATCTGGAGAGCTTCTACTTCTGACAAGTGCCTGAGAAGGGTCAGGGTGTGAGAAGGCCAGCCACACCTTTGGCTTTCCCAAATCTGCTGCTTGCTCCCCTCTCCCCAGACTCACTTCTGCTGAAGACCTTGTAACTCAGCCCAAAACTCTTCATCCTCTCCACTGCTCTCTGAGTCCTCACTGCTCAGACACAGGCTGCTGTAGGAGTAGTTCATCCACACTGGGCTGGGATGGCTCAGGGGTGGGGGGCTGGCCCCTCTTCGGGGCTCCTTCCCACTGCTCCCTTCCTCCTCGGCTCCAGCCCCCATGCCCTCAGCAGCACGGTCACTCTCTGCCAGAGCCTCCCTGGTCTCTGGCCCACTGCCAGTACTGTCCTCCGTGTCTGAGCTCTCTGAGGTCAGCTGAGGAGTTGGAGACTTCAGAGGACCTGAAAGTGTTGGGGGTGACAGCTCCAGAAGAGGCTCAGCTGGCTCTTTAGATGAAGTCACTTGGAAACGCCCAACGAGCTGGGGCTTTCCCTCTACAGACAGGCAGACATGAAGGGAGAGAATCAGTGACAAGTGGTGCTGTTGGGCAGAGGAAGGTCAGTAGGCAGAAGCCTCACCTTCAGAGATGGGTGCCAGTCTGGCTTCACCCATGAATGGCCGGGCAGGATTTTGGGAGACCTATAAAGTAGAGTCATGAGAAGGGAAATGTCCAGAATGGAGCCTTCCGAAGCATCTCTCTTGGTTTCCTACTCACCTCAGTTTCCATCTCAGCTGTGAGGGCTGAAGGGCTCTCCTGGCCACAAGGAGCAAGAGAAGGGGAAGGAGGGAGGCTGGGGATGGGTCCAGGAGGAGCTGGAAGAGACCTGGAAAGCAGCCCAGGCGAGGGGGACAGCAGGGACTGTGCTACAGTCATGACAGCCAGGGAAAAGGCACTAGCCAGAGAGAGGAGTGGGGTGGCTGGGGCTGCTGTGGTGGAGGGAAGGGGTGGAGGTGAAGGGCTTGGAGGAAAGGAAGGGGGATTATGAGTGACCTGGGAACAAATGGGAGATACTGAGGGTGTGGGGCCAGCCGGGAGGGAATTCTGGGGAACCTGAGAAGACAGGATTGGAAACTGGGATGTAATGGGAGTGAGAGGAAGTGGAGAGCTAGGAGTATGTGGAGGGGGCTGTGAGGAGACTTGGGAAGAAATGAGAGGAAATGGGGAAAGACTAGGAAGACACAAAGGAGAGGCAAAGGGGAAGATGGGACCTGGGAAATGAGGACTTTCAGGGGAAAATGGGTTTGCAGGAGATAAGGGGGTTCCAGGAGAAGATGGGGAAGTGGGGAAGGCTGCCCAGCTCCTTTGCTCCAGGGTGTTGCTGCTCTGGGACTCTGCTGGAAAGGAGAACACAATAAAATTCCAGCTCCCCATTCCTTATGTTCTTCCCAAGCAAACCCAGAAGAAAACCCCAATGACTGGTATGAGCAGGAGTAGAATGCAGTACCTACCACGGGCAGCATCTGGGAGGGGACCCAAGAGGGCAGGTACTGGTGCTGGTTCCTCCTCCTGTGGTAATGAAGTCACAGTGGGGAAGAGCAAGTCGTAGATTTCTGCTAGAGTTCATAAGCTAGGGCCCAAGAACCTCTAAAGTCCAGGGAGGTGCTTCATCACACATGTATGTGCTGAAATAATCAGAGGTAAAGGGGCATGATACCTCCAACTTACTATCCAATTGTTCAGGGGGGAAATTACACATTAATTTCCACTTAAGAATGAACGAAAGAGCTAATGTGGCAAAATATGTGAATCTGGGATTTAGTTCTCTGTACAATTTTGCAACTTTTCTATAAATCTGAAATTATTTCAAAATAGTTATAAGGATGGGCTGAACACATTTTTCTAGAACAAGCATCCATGTTTATAATCAGATTCTCAGGTGGGGTCCACGGCCCAAAAAAGCTTCATAGCTGCACTTTGAGGGTCCCTGAGTTGAAGAGGAGTGAAAGCCAACAGTTTTTATAAAGGGCAGAGAATAAGGAACTCAGAGTCCCTTACCCCTGTAGCGTCTGACCTGGGAGCCCAAGGCATCCTCAACTGCCTCCACAGGGCCAGTGTCTCTCCTCAACAAGGTCTCCACTCGCTGGATAATCTCCCGAATGCGACTCAAGAATCCATTTTGCTCCGAGGGCAGAATAAACTCATTATATACCTGGCAAAGTTAAGCAGGATGGGAGGGAGGTCTTACCCAACTCAGCCCTCTCCCCAGCCTCTGATCTTTAAAAACCAACCCTCACACCAGTGCTGCTGCCAATCACCAGCCTAAAGCAAGTACCCACTGTGTGTCAGGCATTGTGTGGTATAAAGAGGAACAGAGCTTAGAAGAAAGAACCTAATATTCCTAGGAGACACTTTGCATACATTATCACAGCACCATTAACCTTTTGGGTTGGGGTCTAATATAAACACTTTATTTTAGACTATAAATAATTAAGAGGTTAGGTTCCATCTTCCCAAGATGACAGGAACGCAGGTCTCTGAGTCTGCCTAATGTCAACATGCATTTTTTTCATTGAATCACTGTTGCCACACATGCCTTTGGACACTGGTCCACAGGCACACACAGTCCACAACGTTAAGTTAAACCAAGACAATGGCAAATGTCACGTTCACATCCAGAAACTGAGCACCTACTCCATGGCAGACATTGTATTACATACTGTGGGGAACACAAGAATGCGTGAAACAAAATTCTAGCCACAGGAAGTCCCAAATTTAGTGGCAGAAAAAAAGCAGATACACAATCCAATGACCTGTAAATCCGCCTATATAGGCCAAGTATTTGTGAGTTGGGTACAGATAAAAATGATTGGTAAACTAGAAGGTGAGAGGAAAAGAAGACCCTCAATGAGATGGGTTGGTACAACGGCCACTGATGGTGCAATGTTTCTGTTTTAATAGAGTTGCTAGAAGTCAGAAATGACTGTGGCACCCGATAGAAATGACATTAATAAAAATGCTATTCCAAAGAGGAAACAAGTCCTAACACCATGGAACTTTGTAGTTTGGAAAAATAAGCAAGAAAAGCAATTTGTTGTTAAGTCCCCAGGGGCTGTTAATTGCCCCAGAGATTGTTCGTCTTTCTCAGGGCAGCTAGGTGGATTCAAACCGCTTGCCTTTCAGTTGACAGCACAATGCTTTATCGCAATGCTACCAGAGCTCTGTTGTTGACTATGTGTGACTCTCCTCATTTAATCCTGAAACCTCTTGCAAAATAAGTAGTATCACCTGCATTTCAGAGATGAGCAACTGAGATCAGTGAAGTTAAGAAACTGGCCCGAGTTCAATGAGTCAGTAACAGAACAGGAACTTAAAACTCAGGTCTTCTGGGAAAGCCTACTCTTTCCTCTCTTCCACACTCATTAGGAAGAGAATGGCATGCATACTAGCTCTGAGATGTGAAAAGGCAAAGCACATTGGCAAAACAAGTGAGGCCCTGGGTATAGCTGAATGTGTTACAAACCCTAACAGGCATGCTCAGGAGTTTGGGTCTTGCTCTATAATCAGAGGTAGCCACTAAGATTTGAGGAGGGGCGGGGAATGATAAACTCTGAGTCTTGGAGAGCTCTGCTCAGAAGACTGGCGGCGGGGAAAGAAGACAATGAAAATTGGGTTCAGGGTTGGGATCGCTTGGGCTTGGGGTTGGGGGTCTGCATGGGTTTACAAGGCCAGTAGAAAAGTCTCTCAGAGTGAGACGTTCCTGAGCAGACAGAGGCAGAGAGAGAAAAGGCCCCTAAGCTCTTTGGAGGACCATTCAGAAACCAGTGTGGCTGGAGGGAAGCTGTGGAAGGGTGGAAGGGCTTTGTGAGTGTGATAAGCCTCTGTGGCAAGTGCTATTTTGTCTTTGTCCTGCATACAAGGTGCTCAGAGAAGAGTATCTGAAGCCTAAAGTCTCCCCTATTTCCTTTCTTTACCCCTGAGGCTACCATCCACTGCCCCCACTCCACTGAAACTAAGCTCACACAAACATCTAACAAAAGCCAATGTAGTCATGCTCCAGGCTTCAACTATGTCACCTCCTTAAAACTCTCTCCTCGCTGTTTTACTAACATCTTTCGGGGTTCCTCCTACCTCTGTGGCTCCATCTGTATGTCTTTTGATGACCTGCTTCCACCTTTTCCCACTCTGGCACAGTATGCATACACTGAGATACACAAGCCTACTATGTGTGCTAATGACCCTTAAATCCACCACCACCCCCAGCCTGGTTCATCTCCCACTCCCAAGGAGGAGCTCATCATCTTGGCTATCCAATGTCACTCAAGCTCATCACAAGCACTAAACATACTTTCATCTTCAACTTCTTTTCTCTTTTGGTGGCCTATCCCTATTAGGTCAGCTCCTCAAGAAGTAAGTTGCCCGTGATGTTCCCTCTTCCTCACTATCCATCATGCTGGCTGAGCAAATATTTATTGAGCATCCACTATGTGCACTGTACTATGTCAACAAGTTATTGAATCGTGGAATGACTTATCTGCTTCCAATGATTCCCAGATTCCCTCATTTTCTTCCACCCACCAGAGTCTGTTCTCTCCTAGGTCCACATCTAGTTTCCTGAGTCCATTTCTTAGCTAGATTTCCTCCCATATTTCCAGGCAGAGTGATCTTCCTAAAAAGCATTTTCACCATGTTACACTCTGCTTAACCATTAAGACCTTCTTCTATGTTCTGGGCCCACCTTACCTTTTCAGCCTTCTTTTCCACGGTCCTCCTATAGGAATAGTTGCTTCCAATGGCATTGGGATCTCTTCGTGATGGCCTCCCAGATTCACTCGAAGACATTCCCTCCTTCCTATGCCTTAGCTTATGCCTTGCCTCCAGCTGGATGACTTCCATTGCCTCTCTTAACTCTATGTGCCATTTCTCTGTACTGCTGTCCCTAGTCCATCCTTTACTTATAATTAACACATGTATAGCATGCGATTCACATGTAACACCTGTGAATACCCATCCGTGTTAGTCTCTAATTGCCAGCCAAGGACCCAAGTTTCTCTGGATAAACAGAGAAGAATAAAATCTCTCGAAGAATAAAATCACAGCCTTCTTCAATGCCATCGTGCTGAGAGCCAACCAATGGTTCAAAAGCCCCTGCTGTCTGCTTTCAGTATTAGTGGGTGAACTCTTCTCCAAAGCCCAAACACTCTGTCCCTGATCTTTCTGTTCCCCTCACCATGGCAGCTGCAATCTCCTCTGGGCTGTCGCCATCCAGATCAAATCGGAAGGTCACCATCTTGCTGTTGTGTGTTTGTAGCTGGCACTCAACCACTCTGTCATTCTGGTCTGAGACCTTAAGATTCAAAATCAGCAGAGAAGGGAAGGTCAAGTCCTCTGTCCTCATCTGTCTCCACCCTACTTGAGTATCTGAGCCAAGTGACAGTGATCAGATTGACATTAGAGAGGATCAGACTCTCTCTCCAAATTCTGGAATTAGATTCCAGATAGCTGTCTCTTTTGTTTGTTTGTTTGTTTTTAAAGATAGCTGTCTCTTGGGTACCCACATCACACCTGGTGTTTCTCTGTTCTGGGTGACCTTCCATCCCCCCAACAGTCCCTTCCTGGTCCGTCTAGGGTATTCTTCATCTCCTGTGCATCTTCCTTACATTAGTGACCCGCAGCCGGGATCGGGGTCTGCGCCGGAGATTTCTCCCTGGGGGTCTCCTCATCCGTCCCATTCCTTCTCCTATGTCACTAAGGCCTGATGCTGCATCAGAGGCATAGCTGGAAAAAATGAAATGAGAGAGGGGTGGTGTCAGAGCAGAAATTAGGTCCTGTGAGCTCCATCCTGAGTCTCCCACTCACATGAAAACCTACCTGTCACCAGGGGCAAAATCACTGCCAAGGCCCGAACGTGGAATAGACAGAGCAAATGCCTAAAATAGGACAGGGGTTCATGAGGTCAGGGAAAAATACAGGGAGAAGGTGTCAAGGATGCTGGGTACTACAGAGATGGAGCTCAGGAAGGAGAGGACAAGAATGGTAGGTAGATTTTCAGGGATAGGGGGCCAGGTCATGGGGTTGGGTTTTACAAGAAGGGAAAAGATCATAGCCTTGGAATGCCTGGGAGCCCCCCACGGGACCCCCTCTCACCGAGGGCAGGCGGAGATGGGACTCAGCGGGGCTGGATAGCAGCCTCCCAGGGGGCTGAAGGGCAGGGTCTGAGGCATCCAGGAAGCCAGAGGAGCTGAGGTAGCCATCAGTCTCGCAATCCGCTGGTAGGGGATGGAGTGGGTCAAAAAAGGGGAAATAAAGGGAAGTAGTGGCACGGGTCGGGTCGGGGTCTGCCTGGGCAAGGAGTCTGGACATGCAGGAAGGTTCTTTCTCAGAGGGACTACTTGCCTAGAGGTGGAAGGCTGAGTACATAATAACACTGCTGGTGTGAACTTATGGATGGAGGGTGGAGGATACAGGTCAAGGGTTTTAGGACCCAGGTCCTAAAGTCAACAGTGACTTACAGGTGGTAGATGAGTAGCTGGCATGGCGGAGAAGGAAGGGTTGGTGCTGGTCTGCCTCAGGCTCCTCTGGCTCAGTGGGGAAGGCACTAGGGGGGCCAGGAACCATGGGGACTGTGGCTGGAAGGGGCCCTGGAGGAGGTGGGAGGGCCTCCAATTCTCGAGCTTTGCGAAGCTTCTCACGCTTTCGCTGGATGGCAGCGACCCGCTCGCGCACTGCTCGGGCCACTGGTTGGTAATCAGCTTCGCAGACCAAGCCCAGAGCCACCTGGAGTTGGGGAGAGAAGTTTGAAGAGCCCAAGTTAGGAAACCCCTCCAAGATCTATTGACATACTTTCTTGGAGTTTCCAGGGTAGAAGGGGACCAACATTTGTTATTATCCATTTATTGATTGTGTCTATTAAGTTGTAATTCTTTTTATTATAATAATTATTTAATTATTATAATAATTGTTTAACTTCCCAATAAACTTCTAAGGCAAGGCTTCTAAGCACCAGTGTGTGTGTGTGTGTGTGTGTGTGTGTGTGTGTGTGTGTGTGTGTGTGTACCATCAAGTTGGATCCTACTGTATAGGAGGAGATTGCCCCTCCTTTTCCAGTGGAGCATCTGGTGGATTTGAACCATGTGCCTTCAGTACTGTAGCACAGTTTCTTGCCACTAGGCCACAAAAACTCCCTTAAGCACCATTTTTAAACATAAGCACAGTGAATGAATGACCTGATCATAGTGATACATTAAGTTAGCGCACACCCATGTTTATTGCAGCTTTGTTCACAATAGCAAGGAGTTGGAAACAACCTAAGTGCCCATCAACAAACGAATGGCTAGAGAAGCTGTGGTATATTCGCACAATGGAATACTATGCTGCATTAAAAAACAAGGAACTCATGCAATATTATTCAAAATGGTTGACTCTGGAGAACATTATGCTGAGTGAAATATCCCAGTCACAAAAGGACAAATATTACATGATGCCACTATTGTAGAATGGGACTGTCCTTGGGGCTGGGGAGAGACTGAGTAAGATGGGTTCAATAATGTATACTGCACTGAAACAGAGGAGGGAGAAAACTGTTTAAAAGAGATATATAACTAGGTATTTCTGTCATCACAGGAGACTAGAGCGAGGGCTACATGGTGGAGGGGACCTGCGGGAGAGTTTGTAAAACAATGAAAGAATCTTTTCTTTTACTTTTCCATAATTTTTGACTCATGTACTTATAACTTGTTAGTCAAATTTGTGTCTTCTAGGTTGCAACACCCCCATGATACATCTTCAAGGATATGAACATGTACGGCCAAGCACAATCAATAAGAGTGCATCTAAATTCCAAAATCAATCTCCATAATAGTCTATGTGTTTCCTACTGCCAAAGGGGCCCTTTAGAGTAGTGAGAAAAGATCTTCACCCTGAAACCCACAGCGTCCCTTTTCAGCAGGAAGTAGCTAAGAGAATACGCCATCCCCTTTTCCTTATGACTAGGGTGAAGTCTCTCTCAGGGAGGAGTGATAGGGAATGGCAAAGGACACACTGACAAAGAAGATTAATCAGAACTGGCTTTGACAAGCACTGTGGCATTTGGACAAGAACAAACTGGGAGGAGGGTAGAGAGAATAGTGCAACAATGAATGAATGAATGGAAACCCAAAATCTCTGTAAATGTTTATGAAAATTAATAAAATATAATTATAGAAAAAAAAAGTTAGCGATTCTTAATGAAATGAGGACAGAAGAGGGACATTTTGCTCCTAAGAGATATTTGGCAATATCTAGAAACATTTTCAGTTGTCATGATTAGGGAGAGGGAAGGCAGGTTACTGACCGTTAGAAAGCAGAGGTACAGGATACTGCTCAACACCCTACAAGGCACAGGACAGTCCTCCAACAAAAATTATTGCCCAAAATGTACACAGTGTCACCAATAGGACCCTGCCAGATGTTAGCTCAGATCTGATTTGACTTGGTTTGTGGAGACACATTTCAAAACACATTATTGGGATGATATACTATAAATGATCTCCCACCTTTTCAACTGCCATTTTCCCTATAATTATGAGAAGCCCATAATCTCTCTCCTCACGTCTCAGCCCTTCCTAAACTAGCTACCAAGCCTCCACCACCTCCATCTTCTACCTCCTATGAACTCCTCTCCTAGTCTACCATTTTTTCCATTCATTCTCTGCTTATCAGTTTTAATAATGACCTTTCTGGTGTGTAAATGAGGTGGGACAAGGTGATCTGACTTAGAATCTGAATGACCTAAGTTTAAACCCAGCCCTGCCATTTACTGGCTGTTGGACCTTAGTCAACTTCTCTTTGTTTCTTTGTCAATAAATTGGGATAAAATTTCCCTCCATGCAGGTTGGTAATAATCATTGTATCTGAAAAAATTTTTAAGCCTTATCTGATGAAGGCTTTTTATCAGCTCTCAGCTTTAGAGGCTTGATGGTAAGAAGCTGCACTGCAATCCCAAAGGCATGTAATTCAAATCCACCAGATTACTGCCTCTGAAAATCCTATAAATCAGTTCTGACTCAGGGGTACACAGCACTATATACCGAAGCAAGTTCTGGAGACCTAGCAGTAAGAAATTGCACTACAATCCCAAAGGCACACAGTTGGAATCCACCAGCTGCCCCTTGGGAGAAGGATGGACAATTTCCTCCCTGAGCTTTGACTGCCTGTGAAAACCTGCTAGGACACACAATAGTAACCATATGCCAGCCACTGCCAGAGATAGATTTTAAAAGGAAAAACGTTTCTGGAAAGGAAAAAAGGAGTATAAGGTCTGACAGAGGCAAAATGCAGGAAAAATTAATTCAGGTGTTAAGATCCAATGACACAAACATCTTACTGCCTTTGAATCAATTCAGTTGATGGTGGCCCTTGATGATCCAGTTTACGGGGCTATAAATCTTAACGGAGTCAGCCTCATTCCTCTCCACCTCAAACAGCTGGTGGATTGAAGCAGCCAATCCTTTAGTTAGAAGCCCAACACTTAATTGACTACATACGTGACTACATACAGACAAGACTCCTTAAACCCATCATGGTAGCACTATAACAAGGGCCTGTTGAAATGGAAACCAATATTTACTTTTGACTCCAGAGAGGTAGGCCTCCTGCGATTGATGGTTCACGGGCATGAAGAAGAGGAAAAGAACAAGAGGGGGGGGAAAGGATGAAAGAGAAAAATAAATGAATGGGAGGAAGGACATTCATTGCAGAGAGCCCAGGGCTTGTTCTGGAAAAGGTAATCTTCAAGGTGTAAGGAGCAGTTAAGTGCCACGAGCCTGCCCCCACCCCCACCCCAGCCCCAGCCAGTCCAGCTGCTCCCGGGCCCACCACGCTCTCACCATCTCCTGTGCCACTTCTTCGGCCGCATCCCGCCCAAGCTGGAACAGGAACTCGATGGCTTGGTTGTCCCGCGGCCGCCCCCCACGCCGCGCGTCTTCCATGCGCAGCCAGAGCTTGAGGCCCGGTTTTTCGCCATCGTCCTCCTCCGCCAGCTCCACGTGCACGCCGCGCTCCTCGCGGAAGAAGGCATGGGCCAGCAGGTCCTGGATGGTGAGCCTGAGGGTCGCAGCGCCGTGAGCCAAGCTCCCTGAAAAGACCGCGCCCCCGCCGCGTCCTGCCCCGCCACCCACCTCTCATTCTTATCCGTGCGGATGCAGCCTTCGATGATCTCCTTCACCTCCGGCATCTTCACCTTGTAGAAGCTGTTCGGCTTTGTGCCCTGGGAGAAGGCGGCTGCATGAAGCCTTCTGTACTCCTTCTTCTGCTAAGAACCCCTCCCGCCCCAAACAGCAGCACCAGCAGCGGCCAAAGTACTGGGATGCTATGGAAGGATGGGTTTCAAATCCCAATCCTGCCAATTAGCAGTGTGACCTTCAACGAGGCTCCACTGAGCCTGTTTCCTCTTTTATCAAACACCTGCCCTGCTCACCTCGAGGGGCAGCTGAAAAGATTTGATGAGAGAGTGACTGTGAAGTCGTTTAGTAAAATCTAGGGAACGCTACACTTATCAGGATGCCAAGTAACATGCACAGGAGAGAGCGTGTGCCTATCTAACATCTCAGTGTCCAGAGAGGCATCTTGTTGTCTAGACTGTTTTCATTACAGGGGAGGAAGGGGAAGCTGATGGGGCAGGTCAGTCGTAGCAGGGCCTGGAATTCCCTCTCCTCCGACCCCTCTCACCGAAGTGACCTTGCGGTAGATTTGTGCAGCGTTCTGGCACTCTGAGTACGGGTATTCCGAGGTGGCCATTTCCAGCATGCACATGCCAAACGCGTACACGTCCACCGCCTCATCGTACTTTTCCTCATACATCTCAGGGGCCATGAACTCCGGGGTTCCTGTAGGATCCACAGCAGCGATCAGGGAGCAGAACCTCCTTCTGGCCTGTCCCTCCCTTTAGGCAGCATTAACTAGGCTGCCTTGAAACCAAAGACACACTACCCACCACTCTCTCTGTCTGTGGCTCTTCCCCATGGTCTCCTAGCTCTTTGGATTTCAAAGGACTCTGTAAAGGTCGGATCCCAGCCTTTCCTCTTGCATAGGGGAAGCAGGAATGGCTAAGACCCACCAATGACGCTCTTGGCGAAGGAGGCGCGCTTGAGTGTGGCCAGGCCAAGGTCTCCAATCTTGACTGAGCCCGAAGGGCCTGTGATGAAGACATTGTCGCACTTGAGATCCCGGTGCAAGATGGGGGGAACCCGAGAGTGTAGGAAATGAAGGCCCCGTAGGATCTGACGGCTCCAGCGCTGGAGGACTCGAGGCTTCATCTCTCGGAACCGCCGCAGGTACCTGAGCAAGAGCGCACAGGAAGTGAACGCGGGGGCGGAGCCTCACTGGCACCTCTCCCTCATTCCACAGCTTGCTGTCTCTTAGCTCAAATTTTCTCCTACCTCAGCCTCAGTGAGAAACTGAGTCAGGGGTGAGGGATGGGTAGATCCGAGGCTACCAAACTGGCAGGAAGGTAAATTTTCAGATAGGACCTTGGCTAAAGTGCTGTGGAGCCCAGAAGAGATGACTAAGAGCCTTGAGTTCAGGGGAGCACTCCACAGAGAAAATAACTTTTATGTTGCGTGTTGAAGGATGAGTTGGAGTTCAAGGGTGAAACAATGGACACTTTCCAGGCAGACAGGAACAGGAGACACTGTGTTCAAAGGCACAGATACAGAGAGCCACTACAAGGGGGGATGTGCTGAGAATTTGGTTTGTCTGGAATATCCAGTGTGAACTTTCATCTCAGGGCTGTAGCAAGGGGCTTGAAAGGGTTTTTAAAATCATAGTGAGGAGGTTAGAGTTAGGATTGACGAAGATGCCTCAGGCTTCAGGAAGATAGGACAATTAGGAGAGAGGAGAGTTAGGACTGGCCCTTTGGGGGCTGCAGCTAGCTAGGTGGGAGTGAAAGAAAGCCCTGGAGAGAGATACTGAGGAGACCGGGGAGTTTGGAGAGACGAACAGTGTGTGGGGAGACTAGTCTAGAGGGCTGCTGGATGGAAAGTTACCCCTCCCTGAGGCAGGGGCACAAGAGGGGTAGGTGGAAGAAGTCAGCCCGGGTTGGGCCTGAGCCTGAAGAATCTTGAGGACCCTGGGAAAGTTAATTAGCAGTGGGGACACTTTCCAGCCCTCCCCTAGCCAGGCGCAGAGCTCACGTCTTGAGCGTGCCCGAGGTCATGAGTTCGGTGACCAGCACGATGCAAACCTGGCCCCTCAGCACCGACTTCCACGAGTCGTAGAAGCGAACGATGTTGGGGTGCTGCAGCCCCTTGAGCATTTCCACCTCCTCAGAGAAGCGTTGCCGCTCGGCCCGAGACAGTTTCCGGGTCTGTGGAATGGGGGAGGGAGGGTCACCGTAGGTCCAGGACCCGCATGGGGACAGGATTGGGGCACAAAGGGAAGTACAGGGAAGAGCTGAGGGGTTGGAGCTGATACATGCTGCTGGGATTGGTGGGATCATTAGCACAAGTGCAGACCCCAAACTTAAATTCAGCCCCCTGGGGTGTCTGCAAGGGCACACCCACCGTGGACCCCCCCACCCCACCCCCGCTGGACACAAGCGCCTTTATGCAGCCTAGTCCTGGAACCTGGAGCTCAATAGCGCCTTTGTGGACACCGGTGTGGCTATGGGGCGGGAACGGGCGCCTAGGGGCTGGCAGCCGGCAGGCAGCAAGTCAGCAGCGGGCAGAGCGAACGGCTGGGAATTGGGGCCTGGAAGGGGTTGGCCCTAGAACTGGAACTGCTAGGTCCAGACAGGAGGTGGGAGGGCCGTGGAGGGAGGTACAGAAAAAGAGAAAAGATCCAGGACCTGGAGCCAGGAGACGACTTTCCCAAAGGCTGTCCCGCCCTGTCTCATCCTCGCCCCCCCTTTACCCCCTAGTTTGGCTGCCTGGCATGGCATGGCCAGGAGCTGGGGGGGGGAACGGGGAAGGAGGCGTGGCACTGGCAAGCGTCAAGGTGTGAACACTATGCCAGGGCCTGAGGGGCGGGACCCTTCCCTGCTCCATGCCCCAATCCCAAGTAGGGCCTGGGATTGATTGAGGTAATGGGTTGACTGGGAATGGAATGGGCTGAGTGGGAGCTGTCAGGCAGGTCCTGCAGACTAACATCTCCCTAAAGGCCACCTGAGTTTGCGAAGAGAGAGGTGAGCAGTGGGATGAGGAGCTGGACTGGACTCAGGCCTCGGCTGGGCACCCTATCCCTCTCCTCTGAAGTCTGACTGCACTAGGATTCTGAGAGGGACTCATCTTGCCATAATACCCCTAAATCTTCAAGACGTGGGGAAGACCCTGCCTCAACAACCAGCCTTCCTCTTCCCAGCCTCCTGACTGGCCAAACATAGGGGAGTGTCCCTAGGGTCACACTAGACAGTCGGCCTCATGGTGACAAATTGGTGGGGGCCCGCTCCCAGATCTGAAGAGACTCTACCCCTTAATTTTCCATCCTTTCCCCACCACCGCCCCCTACATCTCAGGGTTGTGGAGACTTTAATGTGGAAATGCCCATGTCCATGGGGAAACCACTGCACACCACCTGCCTCAGGTTCTCCTGCAGCCCAATCCTTGAGGTTCATGGATCATCAAAGCAAGAAAAGCAAGGGGTTTGGAACATTTGACTGGAAAAATAGATCCCTCCCTTGTCCCCAGGTTCTCCCATCCCAAGACACAGGAGGTTCCCTTCCCAAGGCGGACCGAGGCCGCGCCCAGCCGCACCTGCAGCTCACACCAAGCCACTTCCACCGTGGTGTCCGTGTCCAGCCCTCGATACACCGTCTTGAAGGAGCCCCGTCCAATCTCGATGTCAAACTTGAGGTATCGGCCGTCTGGGGACGTCGCTACAGCCTGTGTCTCTGTGTCCTCTTTCTCCTCCAGCTCCCGCCGCCGTTCTCGGGCTGCAGCTTCGGGGATCCTTGGAGGCTCCCCAGGTGCAGGGACTCCTGCGGAGCCCTGGAGTTGGGAATGCACAGAGTCTGCAGCTTTCCCTGGGGCTTCTCTGGTCCACGTGTCCTCAGGGGGCTCTCTGGAGTTGGGCGGTGGGCTGCTCTTGGAGCAGGGATCAGCGGAGTCCGGAGGGTCTGGGGGCTCTGGAACGGGGGAGGCTGGCTGGGACCAAGAGCTCAGCAACCCCAAGTCGACAGAGCTGCGGCGACCGGGGCGGCACGAGCGCTGCCGTGGCTCGGTCTTCCCGGAGAAGCGGCGCACTCGGCGAGGAGGGGCCCCGGCGCGGGGTGGTCCCGACGCGGCAAGCGGCAGCTGGGGCCGCAGGGCCAGGTCCGCCTCGGTCTGAGACATGGGGACCGTGGTCTCCGGGGCTGGCGGGGCCAGCATAGAGAAGGGCTGGGCGCCGCAGGCCGGCACACAAGCGGCTGGCGAGCAGGCGGCCTGACAGGCGGACTGACTGGGTGCGCAGCGCTCGGGCTGAGCTGCTGGGGCCCCAGCCCCCAGCTCCTGCCCCGGGCCCCGCCCTCGGGCCCGCCCCCACCTCCCGGGGCCGCCCCCTCGGAGCTCCAGCCTCTTACTCTCCCGCCGGAGCCTGAGCCAGAGCCAGAGGCAGGCGGTGCGGCAGCAGCCACACAGCCCCTCACCTCCGCCCCGCCTCGCCAGGCCTCTCCCATGCCCACCGGCCCAGCCTCTGGTCTCCTCCCGAGGTCAGAGCACGGGAGACGGAGTGGTGGTTTCCCACACTCAGTGCGCAAACCTGTTTGTGCGTTGCGTTGGGAGGCGGGGTCCCAGGCCCTGGTGGTGGGGGGTATGCTTTGGGGAGGCTACCACTCTCCTGCGCACCCCAGATAAGACTGCACCACCCTTTCCTAATCGTCCGGAGGAGTACTGGGCCGGTCATCCAGAGGTCAGTGGAAAAGGTCTGGTTTTCTCCGACGCCGCTGTCCGCAAGGCTGCACAGGGAAGGGTGTGCAGCCCCGCCCCTTCCCCAGCCCGGAGCCGAGTCACCCATCCTTCTTTCCCCGCACCCCTCCCCCCAACCTTAGCCGCAGCCTGGCATTAGCCAGAGTGTCTGTTTTTGCTCTGTGGGCTCTCCTTCCTCCCCCTCTGTTTGCCAAAGTCTCCAATAAACCAAAGTCCACATCCGGTTTATCCCCCTCAGCTCCCCTTGACCACAACTACCGCACAGGACCAGATGGGGTGGAGGGAAGGGCTTCACCAAGCCGATTAGGGCTTTTAAGGGGGAGATGGAGAGGGTAGTGGGACTCACTCATTAAGTGGCTCCAATTCCAGAACAGAAAGCGTTTGTCCCCAAGCTGTGTTCCATCAGCACTCCCCCACACACAGCCCACCCAACAGATGTAAACCACAGGCTCACTGGCGCCCAGGGGGGCCCCTTATAGAGGGCTTTTCCATTTATCCAGGCCACAGGCCTCTCCCCTCTTGCCCACAGGTTCCACTCAGGTGGTAATGCTTTCACAGTCCTCCCAGTTTCTAATGCAGGAGTAACTTGGAGGCAGGTAACAGGAGTTGAGATTTTTAATATCATAAATCAGTGTCCAGCCTGCCTCTCACTGCCAGGCCCTTTCTTGGGCCCATCCTGATATTGTCTGGAAGGCTGCCTGCAGCCAGGGCTTCCCCCACCCCCTATGAAGGATCCAGCACCAGCCTGAGAAGGGAGGCAACAGCAGCTGAGGGAGTGAAAGGGGAGGAGACAAGCTTGTACAGGCGCATGTGTGTGTGAACACGTGTAAAGTGAGGTTTACAGACCCTGGCTCAAGGAAAGTCTAGGATGGGAGAGGAGGTAGGGCTAGAAGCAGCACATCTTTTTCTCCTAGTGCCTCGGCCTCACCCTATCCCAGGGACAGATGTATAGGATTAGTGGGAACCCATCCCTGGGTCCCAGCCTTCAGGACTGGAGCCCTTTTAAGTCTGGTGGAGTCACAGACCCAGTCTGTGGGGGCACTGGGCCTGTCTGCTTTTGAAAGCCCTGGAAGGGGAGGAGGTAAGAAGCAAAAGGAGAGACAGGTCTGTGCTAGAAGAACTTGACGCCCCGGCCATCACTGACGGTGATGATCTCAGCCTTGTGCTCCTGCTGGAGAGCCTGCAGGGCCCGGAGTAGGGTTGCCTCATCCAGCCCATGGAACTCTAGACAGGAAGAGATGGGGAAGTCAGAGACAATCAGCCTCGTGGGACCCAGGATCTTTGAAGAGGGCTGTCTAGCTGCGTTTTGAGATCCCAAGAAGCCAGGTATGGATGTACCATCTATACTATTGCAGCCACTCGTTCTTCCCAGGCACTCCTTAAGGGTGAGGGCTGGAAGAAAGCCCGAGTGAGGATGAAATGAGCTTTCAAGCCTACTTCCCCTTCCCTGGTTTTCAACCTGCCACACACTTCCCCAACCCATGCCTTTAATGGAGGATGCACAGGGTCATACCATCTGCTTGCAGGCCACAAAGAGAAGCCTTGACAGTCAGGCTTAGGAAAAGTCGAGGCCCTTTCACTGGATGATGACCCTAGCTGCACATCTATACCAATAGGAGAACCTGTCCTAACAGAAAGAATAGCCAGGACCCCTGGCCAGGAACTATCAAGGTCAGCATTGACAGCTGCCCATTTCCTAGTAAAAACAGGGCTGGGAGCCAATGGCCAGCTGAGTATCTGAAGATAGAGCAGTAACTGTAGGGAGGTGTGAAAGGCAGGAGACAAGCCTCAACAGGCATGCACACCTCACCACCTGCAGGGCCCAGCTCTGGAATCAGGGAGCTTACTCTCTCAGGGAGCCTCAGCTTTAGCCAGCCTGAGTGGTGGGCCGGGCGAGGCTGCAGCGCTGAAGTCATGGGGTGATGGTGGGGACAGCAAGCAGAGGCCTGCAGGGCAGGGGGTAGCATCCAAGAGCTGAAACTTTGCTGTGGCAGAAAAGGGAGGTTCCTCTGTTACCCCAGCTAAGATTAGAACTTTCATGATCCTGGGGACCAGAATATGGAGTCAGAGAAAAAAGACCCAAGAGAATGTTTATACTATACAAAAATCAAACAGTATACAAATCCTCGCCTGGCCAGAAACCAAAGTATTTACACAGGCTGGGGGTGTTGGTCCAATCTCTGCAGCTGATGCCCACAAATCTCTCTTAAGAACACAGAGGGAAAGGAATCCTAAATCAGCAAGGAATGAGATTTCAGGCTTAGGCCCCCACCCCGGTTCATTTGGCATCTGAACAGTTAACTTTTTGTGTTTAACAGATACTTTTTAACAGTCTTTAACTTGGATTGCATCCCTAGAAAAATGCATATACACTCATAGAAAAAACCAAAAAGTTTTGCTTTATATATGAATGGAGGTAGTTTATGGAATCCTTAGATGTGAGTTAAGAACCTGTAATGGTAGTAATTCAGAGAGAGGAAACTGGGAAGTGTGAATGTCAATTACAAATTACACCAAGAGAAGAAACAGGATTCAGGTGGCAAAACTAAAGGCAGCAAGGGAAAGCATTACCCTCATCCTCTGTGTCTTCTCCATTGGTCAGTTCATACAGGGTGAACACGGAGTTGTTTTGGCCACTTTTTGAAACCTGTGGACACACAGAAAATTTGGACTGAATAGGGACTAGAAGTCTGCTGCGAGTAGGTTCGCCTCCCCAGCTCTACCTCTGATCCAGGAGCGGTACCTGCCCCCAACCCCGGGCTTACTGTCACCTCTGCTGAGTAGAAGCTTTAAGCCACAAGTTCTACAGGTGCTATATTTATATGTGTACACACACATTTAGAACCACAAAACCGCAGGTCTTCACGTGTCTGGAGAATGACCTCTCATTTTGGTTGTTTTCCTGCTCAGGAATGGGTGGTGTGTTTTTGTTATGTTGGGGTTGTTGATGCTTCCTCCCCTCCGCTCCCCTCTGGGAATGTTTGGGGCTTGTGGTGGCCGGGAATTTGGGGGAGAAAGCATGCTGCCCTCATAGCCACACTGGTTCAGAATGCCTCATTCATGCTGTGGACAGTCCCATAAGGGTATAGTGGGGGAGGGATCCCAGGGCTTCTTTTTTTTTCTTCCTTTCCCCATTTATCTCCTGTGGCCAGAGTCTCCTGCCAACAATAGCACCCGTGGTTCTTAGTACTGCATTCTCCAAACATGCCCTCAAGTAGCTCCTGGCCTTCTACAGGCACAGAAAGAGAAGTTCTTTGCAGTCAGGGAAATTGAGGCACTGGAAAGAAGCCTGCCTAGAATGTCTGTTTCCTTTTTCTGCCCCCTCCCCACTTTTCTCAGTCTGCATCTAAGAATAGGTATCGGCTATGCATGTAGGTAATGCTCTTTGCGAGGGACATTGCTGAATACTATGTGGCACCATAGTCTCACCCACTGATAGATGAGTTTCCCCCATTCTTCTGGCCTCCGCCACATGATCAAGAAGCTAGATTTGTTCTTATCCAACCACTCAAGATTCCCTGGAAAACAAATAATTGATGGAAGCAGCATGTTCCAAGGAGACACAGGGGACTATCAAGATGGGAGAGTGAAGGAGACTTCACTCGCAGCATCAATAATTTGTTTTAAAATCTGCAAGGCAACTATTCTTCTTTCTTCAGGCTTAGGGCACAGATAGAGAAAATTTTATTTTCTTAGAAAAGTAGGAAGAATTGAACTTTATATTGTACAGAACACCCTGTGGGTTAGGACAGGAGAGAGGGGGAAGGTGTTAAAAGGGAAACTTGTCTTAATCTGTCCTCTGAAAAGAACAGCTAAGAGGATAAATAGGATTATTGAGAACTGAACCAACCTTTCTTCCTCAGTTCCTCTAATACAATCTGAATTGACTCCACAGGGAGCTTCCCTGGTTTAAGTTAAGTGAATGATATACTTAATATAAGCTGATATGAAAGAATAGGTATTGTATGGGATGACAGTTCTCAGAACCAGTCCCATATTGAGAACCATCTGCCCTCTTCTACCTCCCATACACATAGACATTCAATGCCCCAACATGGGCATTTACTGGATATTGAAGGGATGGCAATAAAAAACCTCTTCAAATGAAAAGTTTGTGATTTAAAAATAAAAACTGCTACCTTTGAGTTCTGGTGGGATAATGAGTAGGGAGTTGTGCTGCCAACGCAAGAGCAGCCAGTTGGAATCCACCATTTGCTTCACTGGAGGAAGATAGGCAACCTCCCCCCATGTGATTTACAGCCTCTGAAAACTCACGGGTCAGTCATGAACTGGTTCATTCAAGAGCAATTAACACAATAACTTCCTCACACTCCGTATTCCCCTCCCTCCAGCCCTTCTCCAGATATTTTAGAGATGAATCAGGCAGCAAAAATAAATGACCCTTACTTCCTGGCTGGAGGATGGAGTAGGTGGAAAAAAAAATTAAAGGTAGTAACAGGTTTGGGGCTCAGGTGAGGAAAAGGCATGCAAACTGCCAGAAGAGCTGATTGAAAAGCTTGGGATTGAGTTCCTGAAGCAGAGACCTCCAAGATCTAAATGATACTTGGGTACTACTCCTCATTGCCAAGGGCAAGAGACTGACCCTATGGTTCCATCTTGCAGGGGGTAAAATGCAGGTTAGCTACACTTGCCAGCTCTTTCCTAAATCCAGTGGGTGTAGGGATTTGCCTCGGAGAAGGGGTAGGGATGGGGGAGTTGAAGTCTGAGCTTATGGGAAAGGTGAGAGTCCTGTGTGTGGGCTGAGAGAGCCTGAGGGAGGATACGCTGTAGCTTGACGTTGTTGAAGAGCGGGCTCTCCTGAGCTTCCATCACCGTCATGCTGGACTGTTTGTGCAGGCGACAGAAGGATAGGACCAGCGAGCACCAGGCGGCCAGCTGCTTCTGCCGGGTGTCCACGTTCGGCTGTAACCTGCCGGGTGAAGAGTGAGGTTCAGGATAAGAGGGCTTCAGGGGCCAAAGGCATCAACTGTCCGGGGCATGTTCGAAAGAGCAGGTGGAGGTGGGGGACTGAGGGTAGTGGCAGCCCGATCTTTTCTCCCCCTTCCCGTTTGAAGCAGCAGGGTGACGCCTAGGGTGGGGAAGGGAGGCACAACGGGGCTTCTCGGGGTCTGAGCCTCACGTAAAGAAGGGCGGGAAGCGATACTGCCACGGCCACTCGAAACTCATCGCCATCGTAGCAGCCCAGGAACCCGGAACCTCCTGATGTGGACTTCCGGTTTCCTCCTCGGCGCGTCCGGGCAGAAAGCACAGCACAAAGGTTCCGATAACCTGTCAGGAGAGGGACTGCAGGCTGCGGGCAGGAGCGGGGTCCCTCCTCTTTAGCCTGATCTTTCTATTATACTAAAAACCCTCAGTTCTCATTGCCGTCAAGTCGGAACTGACTCATACCTGACCCTCTAGCGGGTTTTTTCCGAGGCTAGAAATCATATGAGAGATTTCCTAGCTTTCGTCTGCGGAGCAACTGCAGTATTCAAGTGGTTTTGGTTTGATTTTATTTATTTATTTATTTTTAAAGAGCACTGAGGTAATGGAAAGCAAGGAAAGAACTGAGCAAAGAGAGTACAATAAGACAAAAAAAAAGGTCCTAGTGAGATCTTGAGTAGGAGATAACAAGTTGTTTACCTTTGTCAAAAAGATGTAAAAAAAAAAAAAAACCCCAACAAAAATATGTCAAAAGGCTCTGAATGCAAGAGCAGTTTCTAGCAACACAAACTACAAGGTACTGTTTCACAGGCACTGTGGGAGAAATTATTGAACCAAAGGACAAAGAAATTGAAGAAACTAAAAATCATAAGGAGTTTAAATGTTAATTGACATGAATGTCAATACTTCAAAGCTTGACATATGGAAATAAACTTCCGGCTGGGGGTAAAAGACCTGGGTGTTACCTGCAGTTTTACTAACTGTGATGCCTGGGGGGAAGTCTCTGCCCTTTTCTGGGGCAGAACCAGAGACTTAGAGACCTTCACATTTTGACAGTAGAGTGTTGGTTGAGCTGCCAAGTCAAATGCAAGTAGTTCAACTAAGACTGGCAATAAGTAATCAAAACTTGTTGGCTGAAACTCAACTTTCCTTACTAACTTAACTAATGGGCTCTCAATGCAGTCCAGTAACCCTTTATTTTTCTTTGACTTCTTGTCACATACTAGCTGCTCAAATCTCAAGCTACTTCCCTTGTCCCTCCTCTTGCTCTTGGTGCAAAATACCCTCTCATTTTTGTGAAACTGAGGCCATACATGTGAACCCCTTAATCCTTCCCTCTCAACTCTCTTAAGCTTTCTTCCCTTTGAATTTAAAGAAAAGTGTCACTCTTCCTTTTTAAGGCTAACCTTTCAGCATTTTTTTCCAAGATTTTTTAAAAATTGTGCTTTTGGTGACATTTACACAGCAGTTTAGGTTACTATGCAACAATTTCTACACAATTACTCAGTGACATGGGTCATTCTCCACAATGCTGGTCATGCGCATTATTTCGGTTGTTCCATTTCCTGGCATATCTTCTTGAGACTCTCTTTTCCAACTTCTTCCAGGACTTTCTATTATCTTTTTCTCCTGGTTCTGTTTCTCTGGTGTAAAAACATGCTCAGGTACACCTTTTCTGAGAATATATAATTTCCTTGACCTTGTCACCTTCTCAATGACCTGATTTATAACCTTTCCACTTTGACTAAGTTGTCCTTCATTGTATGCAGTTCTTGACCCATAGAAGTGTCCAACAAATGTGTTGAAAATTATTATAAAGCTATTAAGTTAATGTTTATCTCAAAATGCTTTCTTCGTTGCCTCCATGAAATTGCTTTATCCTTTCCTTGTTACATCTTTGATCTGTTTCTTCTCCCCTATTCATTAAATGTGGGTGTTCCTAACTCCTCTCTTTTCCATACACCATCAAAAAGCTCATATTCCTTGAATGAGTTCACATAGTATTTCTATGCAGGAGGCTTCCAAATCTTTATTTCTAGCTCTAGTCTCTTTCCTCACAATCCTCCTATTTCTAATTTTTCATATAATGAAAAAACTTGAAAGCTTTTGTTAATATTCTATCTGCTCTTCAGGCAACTTTCTCATGTGAATGGCTCTTCTATTACTATTGCCATCGTTATCCTATAACTCAGGTTCAAGGTCTGGGTCAGCCTTAACGTGAATGCTACACCACCACTGTGTTCCTTCACCCTCTCAAATCCAAGTATCTGGATATTTGGTTTATGTCTGTCTCCTGTTTGACTTTCATCACGTACTCCATTGTTTTTATTTGTGCACATGTCGGCTCCCCTACTTGATGAAAGCTATTAATGGGAGAAAGCAGATATCTAGATTATTTCTCCCAATAAGGCTATCACATAGTGTGCTATACTAGCAGGGCCTTTGATATATGTTCTTGGGAGAGACAAAGAGGTTTATAGAAGTTCTACCTCAGGAGAAAACTCAAAATGTTCTAGGAAACATATGTCTGTGGAGAGACAGCTGTGTCCTGAGAGGTGTGTCTCAGAGAATGAATAGAAACATTCCATATAGAAAGCATATAGAGACATATTAGAGGATAGGCCAGTATTTCCTAAGAAATGGACTTGTATGTACTGGGGAAGCAGTAAAATTTCAGCAAAAATGAAGGAAAAGTCTATAAAGCAGTTCAGGGTGTCACAAGGAATAAATTGATGTCTTTATGAAACAAAGTTTTCTAGATATTTTCAGTATCCTACAGGCTTTTCAAGGCTAGAATCTTTACAGGAGTCTTTCTCTTGAGGAGCAGCTGGTGAATTAAAACTACAGACTTTTAGTTGACAACTAAATACTTAACCATTGCACCATCAGGGCTCTGGTGTATATGAGTCGGAATCGACCCATAGCTGGCCCTCTGGTGGGATCTCATGTAAGGAGATTGCCTATCTTCCTCCTCTGGAGCAGCTTATGGATTCGCACTGAGTGCCTTCAGGACTGACTGCAGCACAGCTTCTTATCACTAGGCCACCAGAGCACCTGTCAACTCTAAATAAGGATGTCTATTTACAGAAATAGTGAATCACAGAGAGGAGCTAGGATAGTCAAATTGTCTTTAGAGGGTAGATATGTGCCTCAAAAGCTGATAGAAAGGTCGTGCAGAAACTAGGCAGGGCTGGGAAGGAGTGGGGAAGAAGAACTAGTGTTTGCTGCAGAGATGACTGGCATCTCACCCCAGAGTTCAATGCTCTTCAGCTTTGAGCTTCTTCCAGGTTACATTCATCCTCTGGTTGTTGTCTTTAGTGGACACTAGGGGGCAGTGTGTGACCAGGCTGTAGGCCAAACCCCTGGTCACGACAATGTAGGATGAGGGCCAGGAATCTAAAGGAATCAATCATCTGTGATCGACCTAGGAGAGGAAGCCTTTACCTTTAGAAATAAAATTATTTTTTAGATGATCAGGTAAGTTCGTAGTTTCAGATTCCAGGAGTAAACTGAGGCATGAAAAAGGGAAAACATCAGTAGCCCCCTTCTTGCAGGAATCACTGTAGATATTATGTCCTTGCCTCTCCTTCAACACCTCCCCAAGTTGCAGGCCCTCAGCTGCTGTCCAGACCGGAAGGGAGTCTCTTCCTGCATATTTCCTGAAACTGAGTTTGGATAAGGGCAGGAAAGGGCCCACCCTGGGAGGAAGGAGTGTAGGGGTGTGGCCTTAGGTGGGAGGACATAGTATATGTGGGGGTACAGGGGAAACCATCCAGATTCTTCCATCTCTGCTGCCCAAAACTGAGGGCCAGTGGGAGTGACACGGAGTCTGGGAAGGACATAGGCTCCATTGGGATGGGGAGGGGAAAGTGTACAACACAAAAAAGTTTATTTTGAAGATTAAATTACAGAGTTTTATGCCAGGACTGCACCTGGCTTCCATTTTCACCAATACCAGGACCTGTAGTTGGGGCAAGGGTGAGAGAAGAGGGTAGAGAGGAGCAGCGGAGAGGATGGAGGCCTTCAGGTCTGGGTGAGGTGGTGGGCACAGGGGAGAGGAGCAAGATGGCCTCTCAAAAGCTTGTGGACCCTAGGCCTGGGCCTCACTGTCTTTACTCCGCCACACCACAAGGGTGACCAGGAAGGGAATCAGACAGATAGGGGCCATGATCATGGCCAGGAGCACATCCTCTGGGGGGTCACTTAGGGTGGACCGAAGCAGGGAGCAGTTGGCAAAGTGTATCTGGTGAGTTTTAAAGATGACTCTTTCTGCCCAGCGATTGGGGAAGCCCAGGCCAAACTCCTCAGCATGGGACTCCAAGCAGTTTTGAAGGGCACTATAGGGCCTGGGGAGAGGGAGAGAACGCTAGTGAGGGAAGGACTGGGCCCAGAGAGGTGTGTGCCCACACTCACTCTAGGCCCATCTGAAGGAAGAGGCCCTTCCCTGGCCCCAGATACCTCCCCCCACCCCCCAGCACTGGCCCTACCTTTTAATCATGGCCCAGTCACACCAATCCTTTTTCAGATGTTCCATATACTTCTTATACCTTAGCCAGCAAATGTGGACATTTGTCTCATATTTCTGCACCATGCTCCCTGTGGGCACAGATGCTGCACATTGACCACACCCTTGCCCCCTGCACACCCAGCTCTGCTAAGATGGACTCAGAAAATTTCCCAAGCAAGACACTGCTGGCTGAAGAAACAGTCTGCGCCTCAGGAATCGTTTAATGATTTACAGATGTGCGGCGCCTTCCCCCTGACAAGAGCTCCCACACACACACCTTTCCAGAGTCTTCTCACTCACCTGTGAGTTGGACAAGCCCAGAGCTGAGTAGGCGCTTTGTGAGCAAGAGGAGGACTTAGTGGGGCACCAATTGGGTTGGGGACTTGTGGGGAGGGGAGTGGAAGAAAAGAGAGCCTTCCCACTCCTTTCCTTGCTCTCGACTACCCACCCCCAGAATCAGGGCACCCACCTGACTCCAAGCTGTCTGAGGTGGTTAGAGGCTGCGCCAGGGACTCCTGGGGCTTCAGGACAACTGGGGGCAGAAATGGCAGAGAGAGGATGTAGGGATATGGGTGGTGGAACCCGGAGGCTGAACTCCTGGGAAGTCAGGGCTACTCTCAGAAGACAAAGACCAACGGAGTTGGGGATACCCCAAAGATGCTTCAGTCAGGAGCAGAGAGGGCCGGTACCAGCTTCTCCTTTCCACTCGCATCCGGCCGCCAAACTCTTCTCCCTTTCTCTTCGCCCGTCCCAAACCTTTCTCAAGATCTCTGCAGGGTCCCAGCACCTCGCTTTCTCTAAGCGGGAAGCAGCTCGCTCGAGTGGCGCCCGCGCGAGAAGGGGCAGGGGAAGGGCTTTGCTTGTGGGTCTGTGGGTCCGTCCCCGCCCTCCTCCACTCCGACCCCAGGCTCATTCCGGCCCCCCACCCTGCAGGGGCTCCCCAGCCCGGGCCCAGGGCGCGCGCACTCACCGCTCAGCAGGAGCAGGAGGCGGAGCGCGGCCGCCCGCCCGGCGCGAGTCGCTGGGAGCTCCACGCGGAGCGAAGCCATCGCGCGGCGAGAGGCGAGTAGGCGCGGAGCGGCGTCGCTTGCGGCCTGGGCGGGGGCGCCTATATCCCCGGCCCCGAGCCGCAGGAAGCCGCGCCGCTTCCTCGGAGGGGCTGGGACGACCGCGGCCACGTGGGGGGCGGGGGTGACCCGAGGCTGCACCCCGCCCCTGGCGCCCGCGCGCTCTGTACCTCGCCAGCATCGCCCCCCCCCCCTTTATAGTCAACCCCACGGGGCTGGACAGCTCCCGTGGTAACTCTAGAATCCAGATTCATTTCCTGGGCGCTTCCTGACCTCCCAGGGGTCTCCCTTCCTGGCATGACCTCCTCCCCCACAGGTGCCCCCCTTTTTTTTTCAGGGAGCAGGCAAGAAGGGGTCATGAGCTGCTCTCTAGGAGCTGGACATCAGAAAGGAGAACTGGGGGCTCCCAATGGCTCTGCTTGTCTAGGGATGTCTTGAGCCTTGAAGGGAAGGGGTGCCTGGAACTGCGCCCAGATGCTGGGGAGTTGCTTTTCTCTGGGAACACCCACTGATGTCAGCCTGCTAACGCTGGGGGATGTGGGAGCAGGCTGTCAAAAAAACGGGGAGAAAGCCTGGGAAGAAGGGGAAGTCCAAATATCTTCAAGGTATCCAAGGGTGCCTAAAACCACAAACTGAGCTATGGGGTGGAGGAGTGGAAGGGGCAAAGGTAAGAGTCCTGTGCAGGCGGAAGATTGCTAAAACTTTGTCAGACAAAGGTGGTAAGAAAGAAGCTGGAAAGGGGCTGTTAGACATACCTTAAAAGGATGTGCATTATCTCATAGAGGAAGAAATTCAAGGAAAGAGCACAGAACCTGAGGTCAGAAGCTATGGGTTCTAATCCTCTCTCCCTACCCTCCAAATTTATAACCTGGATGACTCATTTACCTTCAGAGTTTCTATTTCCTCTAGGGTAAAATAGATAATTACCCTCCCCCAAAACTGGAATGAGGAAAGGGCATGGCACTGTCCAGTAAATGCTAGATTTCCTTTCTTCCTTTCCTAAGGATTTGTCTAAGGTCACAAGGCTAGGAAGCCCCAAAGCTGCGCCTGGGATCCCAGAGGCCCTGACTTCTGCTACTCCACAGCTGCCTTCTTGTCTTGGGCCAGGACTTCATTAGCCTGGAGCTTTGGAGGAGCCCAGGAGCTGGGATGGCCATGACGCTCAATGACCAGACACAGCTGTCAGCACTGAACTTTTCCAAATTACTCCCAGACACTGACCCTTAGACTTAGCAGCTGCTGTCCTCTCAATTTACTGATTCTTAATCTCCGCCCCCAAATAGCTCTCTTCATCTCTCTCTTAAAATCTTTATCTCAGGGTCTTAGGCTCTGGGACTGTTGCTGCTGATAACCTATTGTCTTCCTCCATGGCTGGGTCAGGAGGTTGCTTTAGCAAAGCATCCAGAGGGAGGAGGGAGGATTGGTATGACTCCCACACCTTCCTGTTGAGGGACATCTATTGTAATGGTGGAGAAAGGAGCCAGTTAGCCTTTAGGCTAGGGACCAAGTGCTATCCCCTCCCTCCCACTCATGATTGTGGTCAAGAAGGATATTTTTCAGTCACAGAAGAACAAACACTATGTAACACCACTGTTATAAGACAGGAGACACAGGGGAACAGGGGAGAGAACGGGAGACGAGTAGATAGAAAATGAACACTGCATTAGAACAGATAAGAGGAAGAAGCACTGTCCTAACGGAATATGTGATTGTTTTTGTTATGTGCTGTCGAGTGGCCTGTGACTCATAGGGACCCCATGTACAACAGCCCTAAACCCTGCTCTATCCCTTGCCAATCTTATTGTCTCCGACACACCTATCCTGATTATCCCAGTGACTGAATCAATCCATCTCATCCAGGGTCTTCCTCTCCTGCACTATCCCTCCACCCTCCCAAGCATGACGTCCCTCTCCAAGGACTGGTCCCGCGCCTTGTCCAAATTATGTCAGACGAAGCTTCAGAATCCTTGCCTCCAAGGAGCAGCCTGCCTTCACCCTCTCTGGATTAACTTGTTCTCCTAGAAGTTCGTAGTATATTCAATACTCTTCCCTAGCACCACAGATCAAAGGCATCAATTCTCCTTCTATCACCCCTAGTCACTGTACAACTTTCTAATGCATAGCAAATAATTGTGAAGACCATGGCCTGTATCAGGCACATTTTAGTCTCTAGGCTGACATCATTGCTCTTTAGTACTCTGGAGAGGTCCCTCAATGAGGTAACTCAATGGTACACAACAACAACAACAATATACCTGTTAGGGAGCTTTGGTGGCCTAGTGGTAAGAAATGTTAAGCAAACTTCCCCACTGCAATCTGTCTTTTACTTTCTTGACTGCTGGTAGGTACCAAGAGTGTTGATTGTGGAGCCAAGCAAACTGAAGCTGTTAACAATCTCAATCGTTTCACCATCTGCCATGATGCTACCAATCAGATCAGTGGTGAGAGTCTTTGTTTTCTCGATGTTGAGCTTCAATCTATATTGAAGGCTGCATTCCTTGACCTTCTGCAGCAAGTGCTTCAGGTTCTCCAAGTAAAGAAGAAGGATATTTTTTAGTGATAAGATGGGAGGAAGAGGAATAGGGGCAGAATGCAAATACTGCTTTTTCCATTGGGCTAGGACCAGAAGCATTGGAGCATTTGTGTTTTAAGCCTGGTCAACACTGTGGTTGAAAAGAAAATGTTAGGTTTGATAGGGCAGTGTGGTTTAGTGGATAAACAAATGTTTGTTTGGATTCTGAAGGCAGATTCTGCCTCTGTCTTAACTACCCTTGCGTAATTAACTTTATATCTTCAGTCTTCAACATTTTCATACATAAAATGCCCCTTAGAATCACCAAGAAAGGTGTAGGTAGTTTGACAGGAAGTGTTAGTCCAAGATTGAGGTTAAGTTTTCATCATGACTGTTGTTCGTTCGTACCATTGAAGTCGACTCATGGTTCACCCTCCAGTGGGTTTTCTTTCCCCACAGAGCTGTGGATTCAAACCGTGTGCCTTTGGGTTGGCATTGCCATTCCTTATCACTAAGCCACCATCACTCCCTCGCATCCATCATTACTAGTGACTTTCAGAGGAGAACTTGTGCAGTCGCTTTTGAACTTGGAGTCCAAAACCTCTAGTTGGAGAATCTTTTCTTCTTGATTTTCCTCCTCCCTCTTTTCTATACCAGTTGAATGTCTTAAATGATCACTAGGGTATGTTGGTAATGGGATCTGTTGCAGGAGTCTTCTGAGACTTGACAAGTGACTAGAGACTTTACCTGTATCTTCTATGTTGCTGTAGGAGATTATCCTGTGAGCTGCAGCTATGAGACAAAGAACGACTTCTTTAGACTCTGAGACTAGTTCATGGCATGTTCCTTATTTCCCAGTCTGGGAGCCTTTTCTAAGACCATTTCTGCTTTTGCTATTAATTTTTTTCTATTACAATTAATACATGCTAGTTATAAACTGTTAAAACAACATAAACAACATACCTGACCATAGCTGACATCCAAGCAGATATATGCACACCCATGTTTATTGCAGCTTTGTTCACAATAGCAAGGAGTTGGAAACAACCTAAGTGCCCATCAAC